AGTGAGTGCATTGCATTCGCGGGGGTATAGCATTGGTTCTTTCCATGAGGAGAACATGATGAGAAGAAAGAGTCATCCTCTTCCTGCTCCGTCTACATCACCAACACCTAAATATTACATGTTACATAAGGACTTGTTCGTTTCAAGACTAGCACACTAGCATGACCACCCAACCTATCTTGAAGTATACAGGAGAATTTAAGCAGCACACGTGTGTCTTCCTGGAGATTGTTGTTTGCATTTTCTTGGTTCTACTCAATTCTTTTAGATCAAATAACCACTCTTTGATTTTATATAAGTGAGTTTTAATGGAAATTTTTCACACAACAAAATTTTCAATGAAAAACACATTAATGATTTTTAATGAAAATTTTGAAAAAGCTTCTGTTTTATGAAGAAACGATTGCTAGTGTCAACTTTAACTTAATTGTGATACTATCACTCCACCTAAACTTTAACTTGTTTACAATATTGTCATCGTCTTTTGTTATTGTAATTAAAGAAAATTCATTGTATGTTTTTGGATTAAAATTTGAGGTTCTTTTCATTAGTTTTTCTTTATGCAAATGGTATTAAAAGAAGAGCAAAAATGGAAAAGAAAAAGAGTTGTTCCAACCTTATACATCTTTGTATGTCACTCCCTACACTATAAATAAGAATTAGGACCAAAGTCATCCTTTTGCAAATTGATGCTTAAAACAAGAATGAATGAGGATTTCGTAACGTAATACTTTAATATAATTCTTTTTACCAAACAAGCGAAATTAGAAAACTTTTTGACCCAATTTACCAATCATCTCCATGTCAATATGAATTTGAGAGTCTAGATTTCTTTTTCTTTTCTTTTACTGATATTTCAACACATATTTATGTAGTCTTTTAGTATCAACCCCCATACATTTTTACATGTCCTCTCCTTGTACTTGACCGGTTTGAGATAGTATTTTATTCTTTTAATATTAACAAAAAAAATGTGAAATTAAAATTGAAGATCTCTCCCAAAATTGAAAAGATAAGCGTTAATAGACCAAAAGCTAATTCTTTTGATAAAGAGATTCTTAACGTGAAGCTCAAACATTTAACTGAGAAAAATGTTTAAAAACTCTTCTTGTATAGCTAATAAGCACCCGTTTATGTTAAAAATACGCATGATGTGATCTTATGAACATTACTTTCAATAGAACTATATATAAAATCAAAAAGTGCATAATGACATGTGGGTCATGTGATGATTATCAACATTTAGAGATGGATGATTTAATTTATCTAATATGTTTTACAAGTTGATTATTAAGGATTAGAGACTTAGTTAACCTCCCTATATTTGATTAATTAAGTAGCATGGCATTTATTTTGGACAAAAAATAAATAAATAAAAAGAAGGGGCATTTTGATATAGGCGTCTCGTTTTTTAATTTTTTAGACTAAACATACACTTCTTTTGAAAATTTGATCAAACATTTTCCTAAAATTTTGGTTATTAATTTCAGTTTTTCACATAAGTTTAATTTGTTTAGAATTTTAGTTTTTCACGACTTTTCCTAGACATTTCATTTTTTTTTTTTCCTTTTCCTCTTATCCCTATATTTATGCATTTATTATCCATCTCTATGCATTTTTTTTATTGTTTGTTATAATTTTACTCTTTTTTTTTTGTGAATATAGTAGAATATTTATAAAATAAAAAAAAATTGTCAGATTTTATTATTTAGAAGCACCAACACATAATAAAGATTTGTTTGATTATATAGCTACATCTAGTTACCTATAATATGTACACATTTAGTTTTGTATTGGATTTGATTTTTTGTATTTCTCGGTACATTTGGAATGTAAATGTACCAAAAGAGTTATCAGATAGAGACATTTGGCTTTGTGGTACATTTGTGATTTTTTGTTCATTTGGTACATTTGGAATTTAAACGTACCAAAAGGGTTACCTGACAATGGGCACATTTGGTTTATCTGTACATTTGAAATCTAAACGTACCAAAAGGGTTACATAACAATGGATACATTGGTTTTATGGTACATTTGGTTTCTCGATACATTTGAAATCTAAACGTACCAAAAGTCAATACTTTTGTTCTCAAATGTACCATAAGTTTTAAGTATATTTTTTAAATATCTATATGTGAAAAAATATGCATTGAAGACTTTTTATTGAGACATTTTTAATAGAAAGAGATTTTTTTTTAAATACTAATAATAAGGTAATGAGGAATTAGTTAATTAATTTTTTATTTTATTTTATTAAAAAATGGCATTTAATGTGTATAAGGGGATTGACGAAATTAAATTTCTATATTATAGGCAATTAGTTGCTAAGTTACCTTATGCCTCTATATAAATGCATTTAAATTAATGACATGGAAATTAAATAAATAGAAAATTATTGCAGTGGCAATTGATCAAAGCACCTGAATCAAATCTTTAAAAGGGATGAATGTTTAATCTAACAACTATAAAAAAGATGTAGAGACTGAAAACTGACCAAACTGACTCAAAACAGCGCAAAACAAACAAATTGACTCAAAACAGGAACTAAAGGGTGATTTGGACGAAAAATGAAGTAAATTGACACGAAATACTAAAGGGGGGGTTTGTTTGGACGAATTTTAAACTAAAACTAAGTAAGTTGTAGTAAACAAACTAATTGATACTAAATTGGGGTGAATGAAAGGGGTGAAAGGCTAGCTTGAAGGTCCTTCTCCACACATGACACATATGCAACACAAATTGATCTCCAATTACTATTCCTATAAACCTTGAATGACAATGCTCCAAGTTAACCATGAACTGCACAAATTAACTATCAGATCTTCCTAAATTCATTGAATTGGACTCAACAACGCAACCAAATTATTCTTATCAAGTTCCCTATATGACAATTGGACGATTACACGTGCGGCAGCTAACATGCACGTGGGGAAGCTTAATAATAGCCGACCAAGACCCTCATGTGCTAATCACAGTGCTTAAAAATTTCATGACCAACTTGGTTTTACGAGAGACCTATCAAAGTATCTCTAATGTAAAGACTCAATCTTAGACAATATTTTTATATTTGGATCTTAAAAGGTGATGTTTTGGATCTTAAAAACTCAAATTCTAGAACTCGCTTTGAGTTTTAAAATTTGAATCCTTGCACTGGAAATTCATATTTGAATCTGGTTGTGTATTGGAGATGATTGGACTCAAATCTCATTATTCTTGGTTGAGTAACAATTTTCTTAGTTGACATGAGCTCCACTTTCAACTCAAATCACATACTGAAACTCATATTGGGTCTTCATTCCGCCAAAGACATAAATATGAGTTTGGAGAACCCTTAGACTCGTATTTAGACTCAAATATAAGATTTGAGTCAAAATTTTCTGGTACATCGAAGATGCTTAGTGTGCTCGAAATATAAGGCGGTCAAGATTGAATTGAGAAATGAACAATCAAGATTGAATTGAGAAAATACTATTTTTATTTACTTTCCCATCTAATGGACATAAAGTCGGATTACCCAGTAATTCGAATTATTGAAGACTTACCTATATCGAACTACCTAGTAATTCAAACTAATTAAGATTTACCCATAAAATGAGATATATTAATCTTGTCGTCCTTGGAGTACTCGTAAAAATTTCTAGGGTAGTGCTGTCACACACCCATTTTTACTTTTCACACACCCCTCTTAATTTTCGGACATCGGATATAATGAGTTGAAAAAGAACAATGGCAAAAAATTAATAAAGATGTGTAAGAAAGTAAAAATTGATGTGTGAACATATTCCAATTTCTAATGATTTAACTCTTTGATTTGAACCATGAGATAAGCCCGTGGTCTTCTTCAAGGTAATGGAGTGACGCGTGAGGATCGTGAAAAGATTGAAAACGAAGAAACGAGAGAGTATCAAATGATTGAGAGAAGTGCGTGTGAGGTTAGGATAATGATCTTTTATATTGACAAATCTTTCCAAGCAACCACCCATAAATTTGAGGGGAAAATTCTTGACCATCATGTCACCAAGCAATCAAAATTCGTTATTTTAAATGGAGTTGCACAGATAATTCAGGTGATTGTAAAGAGATGTCTCAAAATAATCTGAAAGATTTAAGAATACTCATGTGGTGGATTTAATTTTCTCAGTTCAAATTGAGACAATTGTGATGTTGAAGGTTGGTAATGGACAAACGGGAAAAGGAGGAGAGGCCGATGGGTACGTCGACGACTCAATGCACAATAAAGAGAAAGATTGGTTGTGTTCAATTCCAATCAATTTTTGTTAATATTGAGATTTTCTTGAAGTTCCTAGCTTTTTGTGTAACTTTCTGACAGAACTTGAGTGAAGATTGATATGGAAGCAAATTTTCGCCGTCTCTTCCTTTAACAAAAATGCACTTGTAAAATAATGACGCATAAGATTAAGATCAAAAGTCTCACGCGCCCACGATGAATGAGGGGGATTTTGGTCGAAGAATCTCCAATGCAAAAGTTAGAATTCTGAAATAAATGTATTTAGGAGTTCGTGGGTAGCAAATGACTTAGGATTTTAGTGGGATGCGAGGGCTATTTATAGGAGGGTGTCCAACACTTTGGGTGGAGAGTGGCCAGCCATAAGGTAATTGGAGAACAATTGCAAGATATTATGTGAAATAATATCTTGCAATTAACAGGGCAATTATTCCTAAGGGATGAAGAGTTGATTGCTGCTTATAATCAAGAAATCCACTTCCAGAAGATTGCCAATAAGCTCGAACCCCAAGTGTTGAAACTCCAAGGTGTGTTGAAGATCAACGAAAGTCTGAAGAAGGAAGTGGATGAGTTGCAACACATCCGTGTTGGTCCACTCGGGGCTTTGCTTGTTCAGGGTCAAGCCGATTTTAGTTTAAGTTTATCTCTTGTACTCTCGATCACAAAAATTAATTATAAACATCATCCATCCCAAACAATGAATTTGTACCTCATTTGGGAGTTAAAATAGCACATGGCAAAATTGTAAATTCCATGGGACATTTAATTCCAATGAATGTATAAATGGGTCCTCAGATTAGTATAGAATTATAGTTAACCCCAATTATATGCAATCAGTACCTTTCCCTTCGCAGTGTTCTCCCCCACAGGAACCTGCACATCAATAACTCGTGTTTAAATTACTAAATGTTAAAAACCAATCATGTTATGATGTTAAAAATATGAAGCACAAATGTATCTGAGCATGCGCGTGAGACCTTGGGAACTCTGAAATTTTCATTTTTTCAATTTAGATATCAGAGTTAATGTCTTACAGTGCCAAATACAGCAACTGCTAATTTCCACATCTGCATCTGCCCAACCATTCTGCTTGGGTCTTTTATATAAGAAGCAACTTGTTCACTAATATTCTGCAATTGGAAAAAGAAAAATGAATTCCTAGTGATATCTGGCAAAGCATGGCACAAGTTAGTCATAGGGAAAGGCATGTTTACAAGTTCAATTATAGAACCAGACCTGATCAAAAGCATGCGGCTCGCTTTTAATATCATCAGCGCCAGTGGTCACCTCCGTCTTCCTCTACCATTTGTCTATCAATTTGTTTCTGAAAGATACAACGTGACAGGCCTTAGTTAGACCAAGTAACCTGCGGGGAAATGCACACACTAATGAAAAGTTGAACATAGCAGTGAAAAAATTGTCTACTAGTATGTGGGTCTAGTTGATGAGTTTTGTAAGTCTTTCTATGGTCATTTCTCTTAGTGTTTGTTCTAGCTTAAGAGTCTAAAGATTTTCTCGGTGATGGGTTTTACCTCGTTAAATCCTACATCATGTGTATACATGTTATTTGTCTTTTTTAATTGCAAATGTGTTGGATAAACTTCCACTTATTTTCTTGTAGTGAACTCTATCTTAGACATTCATCAACATATAGAGTTTACGACAGAGGACTTTGCAACTATATTATTCAGTGCATTGTTTAATTTGTAAAGCTCTCATTTATCCTAATTATAAAATATAATCTGTACAAGACATTTAAAAAATGGAAGTGTCTTTCAACAGTTTGGATGTCATGTATGGCCATATCCTTTATTTCCACCATCCTTATCAACCGGATGGGGAGATATGTCTTTAAAAGTATGTTATGAAATCGTGGCAAATATTGATTGAGTAATGACGCCTCTAAAAGTAAAATTTGGTTCTATGAAATAATCTCTCATAAAATAAAGTAACGAATAATCAACAAAAGTAACGGTACACCAAGTTGGACCTTCCCAACGTTGAAATGAAATATGAAAGTAGACCAAGTTGCTATTATTCATCTACTCTTTGTTTTTTTTTTTTTTTTAATAAACGATATTGTTTACACGGTTACACTAAGGAAACAGAATGGGCTAAGCCTCACAATAGACTAGCAATAATATGGTTCAAATTCGCATTTGGCGAGAATCAAACTTAAGACCTCTCACTTACAAGTAAAGATGAATACTATTAGATTGTAGTACAAAATATCATTATTCATCCACTTTTAAATAATGAATAATCAAGAAAAACATTGCACGGGGTCCCCCTCTCATCATTGGAATTGGATCCTCTCCTGAGCTTGGGCTCAGGAGCCTCTTGACCAACACACAAAGGCCGTTAGATTTTGATCCAATAACTATAATTATTACAACTTTTAGAGGGTTCCTGTTTTTAGTCATTAGATCAGAATCCAACAACCTTTGTTCAGAAGGCTCCTAAGCCCAAGCTCAGGAGATGATCCAATTCCCTCGTCACTTACCACTAGTGACCATCACTTCCCTAAGCAAAAGACATATTTCCAATTGCTTGACCAAAACAAGCATTGACTTGGTTGTCTGTCCATCAATAACAGGTCCACATCTCAACCCAAATATAATGACGTCAAAGGAGAGGGGAAAATGAGAAGGAAACTCCAGAGGGTAGAGAAAAGGAGAAAAGGAGAAGGGAAAAGTAGAAAAGGAAGGAGGAAAATGAGAGGAAATTTCAGAGAATAGAGAAAAGGAGAAGGGAAAAGAAGAAAAGAAGGAAAAGGGGGAAGGAAGCGTAGGAGAGTAGAGGAAGAGAGGGAAAAGCATAAAAACAAAAAAATAAAAAAGGAATGTCGTCTTCATCATTATGTCTACTAACGGAAAATAGCAAAATGCTCCCAACTTCCCTTGTTTCTTACATTGTAAATTGTATTTCGTACAATGAGAAATCAATATTCTTATCCTGAGAACGTAGACATAACTTGCCAAATCTTGTAACTATACGACAAATCTATAACTACATAACAATTCAATCAACCACCTTAAGTTTGACCATACATGTACCTAAATTCAGGTTTTTCTAAACTTTCCTTAAGAAACTACCTGAACATTAAAAGTGCCACATTATTATGCGGTTCTATCAAGTTTTAATTTTTGTCTAATTACCTCATCATCTTTAAGACAATCAATCATGTAGTTGAATATATAAACCTTCGAGATGGTGATATTGGAAACAATAGTTGGTGTGTTGATTGGTAGAAATGGTTCCAACAATTCAAGGACGATAAATGAATATGGAGCAACGATCAAACGAGAAATGAGTATACAACAACGATCAAAATGTGTTGTATTTTATCACAAAAAATCTTTGTGCAACTAGAAGTGCATTTTATCACAAAAAGGTGAGCAACGATCAATATCATTGTAATTTAGAAAATCACATATAAAACAGGAAGTAATCTTTTCTTATTCTTTTCATCTCTATCACTAGTGGCCTACCATGACTTAAACAAATACTTTTTGGGTCAATGCATGGGAATGACCCATTTTATAATTGTTTGTTAATTTTCCTGGAAGTAGATAAGAATGACCTAATTAAATATCTCCCCTGCACACAGACATTTGCATTGCACCTAACAAAGACCAGGTTTTTTGTTTGTACACCGATCCACATCAATGGCTCTTGCGAGAAAAACTCAAGGAACATCCTCCAATTCCAACACTCGTCGGGGTTATCATTACGACGTGTTCTTGAGCTTTAGAGGTGAAGACACTCGCAAGACGTTTACCGACCACCTCTACAGAGCTTTGATAAGCGCAGGATATCGCACATTTCGAGACGACGATGAACTCGAGACGGGAGAAGATATCAAGTCAGGACTGAAGCAAGCAATCCAAATGTCCCGAACTTCTGTCATTGTGTTTTCGAAAGATTACGCGTCGTCCAGATGGTGCCTTAACGAGCTTGTCGAGATCGTTGACCACAAGAGGACTAGCTCGGACCATGTGATTATACCGGTCTTCTACGATATTGATCCGTCCCATGTGAGGAAGCAGACGGGAAGCGTTGCCGAGGCATTTGCTAGACACCGGAAAACTGAACCCCCCGACATGATGGAGAGATGGAGGAAGGCACTTGCAGAGGTTGCAGATCTAGCTGGGAAGGTTTTACAAAATCAAGCTTATGGGTAACTTTCAGTTTCTTCTTTTGTCTTCTCTTTGTTGTTGTTGTTGTTGACCTGTCCAATAAAATCACAAAATATTGATTTACTCAACACAAATGTTCATATGACTTCAGGCAAATTGCTCCAGTAACAATCCCATTTAAGGTCAATTAAGTTGTCATGATCTGTACCATGTAGCTGCATGGAATAGCTGTTAAGAATTATTTATCGAACCTTAGTATAATTCTCTTGTGAATTCCATGATGATCCGACTTCGTATAATTGATTGATATCGGGTGCACGACATGTTTGATTCATCTTTCATTTTATTTGCAAATTCTTAGGTACGAGTCAAAGTTTATCGAAGATATTGTTCAAGCGATTCGTGATAAGCTAAGTCGCACACACTTGAGCGTTGAACCAAAACTGGTTGGAATCCATTCTCGAGTCGAAAACATCAATTTATGGTTACAAAATCCATCACATGATGTTGGTATACTTGTTTTTTATGGGCTGCCTGGAATAGGGAAGACAACCATTGCAAAATGTGTTTACAATTCAAACTTTGAAAGTTTTGAAAGAAGCAGCTATTTGAAAGTATCAGAGAAACTGCAAGTCATCCAGACGGCTTAGTTCAAATACAAAAGCAAATTCTTTGTGATATTTTAAATGGGAAAAAAGAGAAAATACACAATGTTAGTGAGGGAATAATTAATATTGGAAGAGCCATAAGCTTGAGAAGAGTTCTTCTTGTTCTTGATGATGTGGACCATATGGACCAATTTGATGCAGTACTGAGAATGAAAGATCAGTTTTATCCTGGAAGTAAAATAATCATAACAACTAGGCGTAAAAGGTTGCTAAAGGCACATGAAGGTATTGCGGTGCATGAAGTTGGACCTTTGGGTTTCGATGAATCATTGGAGCTCTTAAGCCAGCATGCTTTTGGCCAGGATCATCCCCTTGAAGGTTATGAGAAATATTCTGAGGAAGTCGTACAACACGGCGGAAGACTTCCATTAGCTCTCAAAGTTTTGGGTTCTTCTCTTTTCGGGGAACCTAAGCGTGTATGGAAAAGTACATTGGAGAAGTTAAAAGTTATTCCAAATGGTGAAATCATGAATAAATTGAGAATAAGCTACGACTCTTTACAAGATGACCATGACCAAAAATTATTCCTCCATATTGCTTGTTTCTTTATTGGAAAGGATGAAGATTACATTGTCAGAATACTAGATGAATGTGATTTCAAGACAATTTGTGGCATTCAAAATCTCAGAGATAGGTGCTTGGTGACAATTGATAGGGACAACAAGTTGTCTATGCATGACATGATTCGTGACATGGGACGAGAAATTGTTCGCCGAGAATCATATGAGCCTGAGAATCGTAGTAGATTGTGGCGCTCTAAGGATTCTTTCGAAGTATTGAGAGAAAAGAATGTAAGAAATGTTCATTGTATGTGTGTGTGTGTGTGTTTCTTTTTCTCTTGTGCTAATTAACCAATTGTTTTTCCGATTTCTTTTATAGGGTACGCAAGCAATTGAAGGTCTTATGTTGGACATGCATGAACTGCTTACAAACAGCCCTATCAACTCAAACGAGAATGTCTTGGAAACCAATTCATGTGCAAGGATGCAGAAACTGAAACTGCTCTGCCTTAGACATGTACGACTGGACGGATGTTATGCAAAACTTCCGACAAGGTTAAGATGGTTGTGCTGGCTCGAATTTCCTTTGGATTCAATTCCTGTTGATTTTTCTTTGGAGAAATTGGTAGTTCTTGAAATGCAATATAGCAACTTGAGACAACTCTGCAAAAGAGCAAACGTATGTTACCCTACGCTTTTCATTCTATTTTCCTTCTTTCTTTAGGTTTTAATTCTTTAATTAATTTCATATGTTGGAATCAACTCCTCGTTCTTTTTTTGTTTGTTTATTTTTATTTGTTTCCAGTTTCTTCCTTCGTTGAAGATCCTTGACGTCAGCCATTCCTATGGCCTTACTGAAATCATTGACTTCTCACTTTGCCCCAAACTAGAGGAATTGATTCTTGTGGATTGCACCAGCTTGATTGATGTTCATGAATCCATTGGAAACCTGGAGAGACTCGTGTACTTGAATATGACGGATTGCAAGAATCTTAGGATGCTTCCAAAGAACATGTGCATGCTTAAATCACTTGAAACACTCATTTTATCTGGTTGCTCAAATCTTGGTGAGTTTCCAGTGGAGATGATGAAGGAGATGGAGTCTCTAGGGGTTCTTGCAACAGATGGAATTCCATTAAGGCCAGAAAGAAGTTCAACTATCTTGAGTTCTTTTCCATGCTCTTTAGTAGAGTTGAGTCTGAAGGGGTGCAATCTTTCTGATGATGTCTTTCCTACGGATTTAAGTAATCTATCCTACTTGCGAAGCCTACATTTAGATGGGAATCCAATTTGCAATCTGCCAGTTTTCATCCAAGGTTTGAGAAGGCTCGATCATCTATCTTTCGAGGATTGTAATAGGCTCGAATCGCTTGTAGGGTTGCCGAAAGTACACCAAACGACAATTATAGCCGGATGCATATCATTAAGAAAAATAAAATATCTTCCCCCTGAGCGACGGTCTGGAATGTACATGGTGCATGACAACTACAATCTAGTTGAGTGGGAGCATAAATACAAGATTGAGCCTATTGATAGAGTTGATGTGGAAATAATCAAACTTTTGGGCTTGTGCAACTTGGAATCCATGCCTGCTGTTCGAATGCGTCATCCATTCACAGATAGGGTTCTAAAAAAGGTCCCCGTCCAGGTGCGCCTCTCTTTCTCTCTCTCTTAAGTCTTAAATATATAATGGGAAAGAAATGACTGAGTAATGTTGTGATGATTATGGCAAATACATAGGGACTGTATCAATATGGTATATTCAGCACATTTTTTGCTGGGAATGAGGTTCCAGGCCGGTTCAGTTATAAAAGTACCAAGTCCTCCATGTCTTTTATAGTCCCTTTACTACTTGCTAGTCACAGAATTCGAGGCTTGAACATCTTTGCTACCTATGCAAACAAGGGGAATTATGTTGATAATTGGAATCCTTTTGATCCAACACTACTGACTAAAGTGAGTAACAAGAGCAAGGGTCTGAAGTGGATCTATCGCCCAGAGTTCTATGGAATTCCAGGAGAGGGAGAAGATATGATATGGTTGAGCCATTGGAAGATGGAGAACAAAACAATATTACAATGTGGAGATCAAGTGGTGGTTTCTGTACTGGCCGAGCCAGATGAGTTGATTCAAATAAAGGAGTTTGGTGTCGAGCTTGTGCAAGAACACCAGAATAATATGATGATAAGTACCCAACACCACACCGAATCAGATCCTAATTATCCATATGTCATCAATGGAGATTTGTCCATGCATGAGCATATACCAGGAATATACTTCCTTGGTTATACTGATGAAGATGTTGAAAGTGCTATGAAATATGGGCGGGGGAATTTTAGAACGCCTCATCATGGACACTGATGAAGAAGACACAGGTATGCTACGTCGTTGTATTGCAATGAATTATACTACATCCAAACACTTCCAAGTTCGTCTGTATTCAATTCAAAAACATAAATTTTATGTTATTTGTATGTTTTTCAGACAAAGAAGGGCAAGAGGATGCCAGTAACAATTGCGGCCTCGAAGGCTGGAAGGTGCTCCTCACAGCTTTCGGCTTATTTTTCACGCTTGCCCTAGTAGTTCGGTCCTCCATCTCCTAGAAAAAGAAGCGACAGTAGTCCACAAGCCATCCATGAGTTTGTAATTTTACTTCATACAGACATCTTTGGATTCCCTCCTTGTTTTTAAGATGTTTTCTGCCTTCAAACTTCGGGTTCACAGCTAAGCGCTTAACCGCTTGAGATATAAAAACCCTAGCAATTAGATATCGAAGTTCAAATATGTTCAACATCATCAAATATTGCATAGCTCAAATGTGTTCAACATCATCAAATACTGAAATACATCCAGCATTAGCGATGCTATTTCGGCACTGTGGAAAGCAAAAACATCCTTTTTGCTTATAAATGTCAAAGTTACAGATCTTAATTGTCATTTACAACAAAATCATGCTTCTTAAAGACTCAACTCCCATTGAAAAATTATGTAAATAAGTATAACAGATACAAGATTGAATAATATATCAAATAAAAAACAGCAGACAATTGCATCGCTACTACACTACGGAGCTGGTTTCTGCTTCTTCAACCTGAATTATTAGGGTCAGGAAGCATTAGGAAGAACATCCGTCTCTGAGGCAGATAATCAAATAGTGCAAAATTAGAATAAAAAAACAATAGAAGTTCAGGATTGATGAGGTTCCAAGCCCACTACAAGCTGCTGAGACAATGCAGTGTCATTGACTTCAATAGAAGTTCAGATTGTTTGAATGAAACTTCCCTAATGAGTCCAAATTGTTTGAAAATCATTAACGAGGATACCGGGCATCACACGGGAGGATAAAATCATTAAGAATTTCAAAAGCCACACTTTTTAAATGCAATCTGATTGCATGTGTTTTGAACTACATGAAATATTATACATTGGGTAAACAGTATTAGTATATCACATTCAAATGCAATCATTCATGTATGAAGTATGAGATGCCCTGATAGTTTTACCAGAAGATGATGGGTCAATTGTCTCAAAAAATTATTTCAGTAATGTCTGGTATAACTCAGAGTCATCCAAAAGTTCGGGTCACCATCAGCTTGTGCATCAGCATCAGATTGTGTCACCTATCAAAGTGAAAGAATAAAATTACTCAATTTGTACAAATAGAAATATAACTTTTTATAACACATCAACAAGGTAATTAAAGCGGAACCCACATCGAAGTGGCAAACAAATCAAATTTGTAAATAAAAGATAGGATTAAAGTTAATGGCGAATGAAGTGTACTGAAACAACCACAACCCTCGCACACTGGTTGCAATAAAAGGCACAAATTCGTCAAGTCACATCGTGGCCATCCAAAAGAAAATTGAAGCAAACACCACAAACAACCCAAAATTTGCTTAAACGTCGTATCAAATTAATTATAAACAGCATCCATCCCAAACAATGAATTTGTACCTCATTTGGGAGTTAAAATGGCACATGGCAAAATTGTAAATTCTGTGGGACATTTAATTCCAATGAATTTATAAATGGGTCCTCAGATTAGTATAGAATTATAGTTAACCACAATTATATGCAATCAGTACCTTTCCCTTTGCAGTGTTCTCCCCCACAGGAACCTGCACATCAATAACTCGTGTTTAAATTACTAAATGTTAAAAACCAATCATGTTATGATGTTAAAAATATGAAGCACAAATGTATCTGAGCATGCGCGTGAGACCTTGGGAACTCTGAAATTTTCATTTTTTCAATTTAGATATCAGAGTTAATGTCTTACAGTGCCAAATACAGCAACTGCTAATTTCCACATCTGCATCTGCCCAACCATTCTGCTTGGGTCTTTTATATAAGAAGCAACTTGTTCACTAATATTCTGCAATTGGAAAAAGAAAATGAATTCCTGTGATATATGGCAAAGCATGGCACAAGTTAGTCATAGGGAAAGGCATGTTTACAAGTTCAATTATAGAACCAGACCTGATCAAAAGCATGCGGCTCGCTTTTAATATCATCAGCGCCTGTGGTCACCTCCGTCTTCCTCTACCATTTGTCTATCAATTTGTTTCTGAAAGATACAACGTGACAGGCCTTAGTTAGACCAAGTAACCTGCGGGGAAATGCACACACTAATGAAAAGTTGAACATAGTAGAATAAATTCCTAAAATTCATGCAAGAGAAGTTATACAGAACTACCCGAGAGTATACTTAAAGTAAACATACAGCAACATAGATTTTTAAAAGTATAATGTACAAATGAATTTCATGGTTCTCTACCGGCCCCTTTAGATAACAAACTAATTTAATTTAGTACCTAATGGAATTTAAAGGTCAGAAAACTATCGTTTGGTATATTTCATATTGAACAGTTGAGACAAACTTAATAACATAATAGCCTGATGTATTAACTGATAAGAACTATGTATTGAAATATAACAAAAGTTAGACGCTAAGGTATTGAAATACAGCAATAATAGTAAGGTACTTGAATCCACCATTTACAAGAATTTTAAACAATTAAACAACAAAATTCCAAAGTTCTTTTTGCCGCTCCAAATGGTATGAACAATAATGTTCAACAATATTTCAGTTTTATAGATAGGATTCAATATAACAAGAGCATATCTAGATAGTAGAATATGATTCTTCTTTTCAGAATATCCAAATTATGATCTGAGTAATAGTCTGCCCAACTTGTTTTATATAAGAACCAACTTGTTCACTAATATTCTGCCCAACCATTCCTCTTGTAGCCATATCTTCTAACCCAACCCAACCCAACCCAAATTATATGCAGTTTATTTAATAATGCAATCATCTTCCAAGAATAAGGTCCAAATATGTGATCCTTCCATCCTGGATGTCTATATTTCTATCGAATAGAACAATTTGCAATAACACTATGTATGCTAGTACTTAACATAAATACTTACACCAACAACAACAACAATAAAAGATTGGCACAAAAAGCATAAGTCCGTAAAACACGTAGTACTTACCACATGCAATGAATCACACCCTCAGAAGCTGATACTTCTAGGTTATCATACACGTAACCGCAAACTTGGTTTCTTCAAGGAGAGTGAAGCGAAGTCCCTCCTCGAAAGATGGACAAGCGGAACGGCTTCGGTATCGGTAAAAAAGAAAGAAAAGGTAAGAAATATACCTCATCCGAAACATATAGGCAATAGTTATACTAAAACAATAATTAATTGAAAGGAAAACTAATGAAAAGGGCTTGAAAACTTGAGTTTTAACGATAAGGACAAAATAAAGAGTAAAGTGAATAGTATCATGATTGACTTTTTAGTGTAAAAATGTGGTTTTTTTTTAAATGAACAGTATCGTGGGTTTTTCATTAAAACTCCCTTTGACTGAAACCATTGAAGGGGAAAAAAAGCGGAAGTGGATAAAAACTGACCTAACGTACTAAAAAAGGCAAAAGTGGATAAAAAAAAAAACATGAAAAAAAAAAGGGATGAATCCCCAAAATGAGAGAAAATGGAACAAATAAGGGAGTAAATAGAGGGATGAATCCCCCAAAACCTGATCTAACGTACTAAAAAATTAAAAATCCAAGCTAACAGTAAAGAATCCAATTAAAAAAAGGAACTTATCTTTGGAAATCCACACATGCAGCGCAAGATCCAGCACACACCACCCTAAGTTGCCTCTGTTCATGACCCTTACCCCTCTCCCTGAAATCCTAACAACCCATATGGTTTTCTCGGACCAGTCCCACTCTCCCACTTGTGAAATCCACCTGCAGCAAATCGCTGAGACCCCTTCCCCTCCCCCCTCGCTCTCTTTCCATCTCTCTCTATCTCTCTCTCTCTCTCTCTTGGCCTCCATCCCCTAAACCCTCATTGAATGACAACAAATGCAAACCTACCAGCTACCCACTAATTCGCTGAAAACCGAGAGGACAAAATTGCCCTTCCTAAGACATCATCCCCACCATCGGATTGTAATCTTCGATGGGTAGAACTGTAATTAAATCATTGAGAGCCTGACTGAGGGCCGGGCTTCTTACCGAAAACCAACAGAAGGCTGATGAAGAGAAAAAGGGAGCCCAAACCCCAACCCAACACAGATATGGTGGTAGCATTATGTAAATAAAGCAAAATCAAGGGGCAACAATTTAACTGTAGCTAAGCTACAGTCAAATTATTCCTCAACTTTAGATTGTATAATGAGGGGGTTTTGAACTTAAGATGCAGTTGGGAAAGTAGGCCGCTCTAACCATTTCGAACTTGGGTGCCGCGAGAGGAGTACATTGCTCTAGTCAACTTAGCTAAAACTTAGTCTGCTAAACAAGATATCGATCATTTGGTTTTCCAGATTGTCATGGCATTCGTCTGCAGTTTGAATCCATAACCAAGTAGTTTTCAAGTTTCAACTAGCATTATAAATTTAAGGGAGATGTTAAAAAGTCGTTGCAATCTCGTATATAGAAATTGTTTAATCTTGCGTAATGAATTGATAATAATACCTTTGTAACCAACTTAAACTATGAATATTTTGTATTTCCTTGTTTTCTTTTTGGGAACAAACAATATGATTTTTTTTTTTTTAACAAACAATATGATAATTTACTCTAAATTATAGCGAGTGTAGAAAGTTTGAGCTCTAGAAGCAGTGAGTTAAAGAAGAGAAAGACATCATCCAATAAGGCAATCCACTGCTCATTTGTATATATAAGAGCTCAAACGCTAAACAGTTAGTATTAATATATTAAAATGTGAACGGTTTCGACCGGATAACACCCATTTTTTGACGCACAATTTATACAACACACTCCATAACTTTTTCTAAAGATCTAAATCGTCTATATTTTAATTCATTATTCATAAATCATCCTTATAAAAAAATCTAAAATCACCAAGACATTCATTTGTATTAAAGAAAATATACAAATACTATTATCCAAATAAATACTAAAATGTGAAACGTTTTGATCGGATAACACTCATTTTTGACGCCCAATTTATACAACGCACTCCATAATTTTTTCTAAAGATCTAAATCGTCTATATTTTAATTCATTATTCATAAATCATCCTTACAAAAGAAAAAAGAAAAAATCTAAAATCACCAAGACATTTATTTGTATTAAAGAAAAAATACAAATACTGTTATGCAAAGAAATACTAAAATCACCAAGACATTCATTTGTATTAATTCTAATTTAACTCATGTTATACCTACAAAAGTACTTGATTAGAACTCCAATAGTAATATTACACTGCATAAACTTGTTTTTTTTCTTAACATACGATAATGTGAAACTTCAAAAATATTCAACAACCACATCATGCAGAAAAATTTACAACCCAAAAGAAACAAATTTAGCAAAACTACCATATCAAACACTAGAGAGAAAACATCTACCAATTTCCAATTGAAGAAAAATAACTAGTCACTTTAAGATGGTTTATTACACATGACATGTTTGATTTATCTTTCATTTTGTTTGCAAATTCTTAGGTACGAGTCAAGGTTTATGGAAAAAATTGTTAAAGTGATTGAAGGCAAGTTAAGTCGCAAGCCATTGAGTGTTGAACCAAAATTGATTGGAATCCATTCTCAAGTCAAAGGTATCAATTTATGGTTACAAGATGGATCAACTGATGTTGGTATACTTGTTGTTTATGGGATGTCTCGAATGGGGAAGACAACAATTGCAAAACATGTTTATAATTCAAACTTTAGAAGCTTTGAAGGAAGTAGTTTCAATGAAAATATCAATGAAATAGTAGATTGACTAAATGGCTTAGTTCAAATACAAATGCAACTTCTTTATGATCTTTCGAACGACAGAGAAGTGAAAATACATGGTGTTGGTGAGGGACTAAGTAAGATTGAAAGAATCATAAGCTCTAGAAGAGTTCTCGTTCTTGATGATGCGAACCATATGGACCAATTAGATGCAGTACTAAAGATGAAAGATCAGTTTTATCTTGGAAGTAAAATGCTTATAACAACCAAGCGTGAAAGGTTGCTAAAAGCATATCAAGTTATAAAGGTGCACAAAGTTGGAACTTTGTATTACGATGAGTCATTAGAGCTTTTCAGTTGGCATCCTTTTCGCCAAGACCATCCCCTTAGAGGTTACATGGAATATTCAAAAAATGTTGTACACTACTGCGACGGACTTCCATTAGCTCTAAAAGTTTTTGGTTCTTCTTTATCATGGGAAAGTATAGATGTATGGGAAAGTACATTGGAGAAGCTAAAAGTTGTCCCTAATGGTGAAATCATGAATAAACTAAGAATGAGCTATGATAGTTTACAAGATGACCATGACCACATTGCTTGTTTCCTAATAGGAATGAACAAAAGCCACATTGTTAGAATACTCGATGGATGTGATTTCTATACAATTGTTGGCATTCAGAATCTCATTGATAGATGCTTGGTGACAATTGATGGATGCAACAACGTGCAAATGCATGACATGATCCGTGACATGGAAGAGAAATTGTTCGTCACAAATCAGAAGAGCCTGGAAAACGTAGTAGATTATGGCGCCAAAAGGATTCTTTCAAAGAACTGAGGGAAAAGAATGTAAGAAGCATGCCTTTTATGTCTATATATGTATTTCTTGTTGTGAAAATTATCCATAGTAACGTTTCCATTTTTTCCTTTAGGGTACAAAAACCATCCAAGGTCTTGTCCTTAATATGCGTATGCATCCTGCAAACAGTCCAATAAACACAAATGAGATAGTCTTGGAAACCAATGCATTTGAAAGGATGTGCATATTACAACTACTACATCTTATTCATGTACAACTGGATGGATGTTATACAGATTTGCCTACAGGATTAAGATGGTTGTGTTGGCTTCAATTTCCTTTGGATACTATACCTATTGAGTTTCCTTTGGGGTGTCTAATTGTTCTTGAAATGCAATACAGTAGCTTAAGACTCGTGTACCTGAATATGAAGGATTGCTAGAATCTTAGGATGCTTCCGAAGAACATGTGCTTGCTTAAATCACTTGAAACACTTATTTTATCTGGTTGCTCAAATCATGACGAGTTTCCAGTGGAGACGATGAAGAAGATGGAGTCTCTAAAAGTTCTTGAAACAAATGGAATTCCATTAAGTGAATTATGGCCAGAAAGAAGTTCAACTGTCTTGAGTTCTTTTCCATGCTCTTTAGTTAAGTTGTATCTCAGTAGGTGCAATATTTCTGATGATGCCTTTTGTAGGGATTTAGGTAGTCTATCCTCGTTGCGAAGATTAAAGTTAGATGAGAATCCAATTTGCAGTCTGCTAGGTTTCATCAAAGGTTTGAGGAGGCTCGATAAACTCTCTTTTCGTAATTGTAAGAAGCTCAAATTGCTTGTGGGGTTGCCAAGAGTACACGAAAAGATGGATGTATCCAATTGCATATCATTGAAAAAAGTAGCATATCAATCGTTTGAGGGACTCCAACTAGAGGCCTTTCTGAATGACATATTTTTTTGTTGGGAATGAGATTTTAGGCCGGTTCAGCTATTAAAGTACCAAGTCCTCCATATCCTTTATTGTCCCTTTACTCCCTCCTAGTCACAAAATCTGAGGCTTGAACATCTTTGCTACCTATGGAAACGAGGAGAATTCTAATTATAATGATGATGATGATGATGACGACCACGATAAACCTCCAATGATAATCAAAGTAACAAGAGCAAGGGTCTGAAGTGGATCTATGGCCCATATTTCTACGATATTCCAGAAGAGGGAAAAGATATGATATGGTTGAGCCATTGGAGGATGGAGAGTGAAACAACATTACAATGTGGAGAAGAAGTGCTTGTTTCAATACTCATGAGACCTGGTGAGTTTCAGCTCAAGGAGTTTGGTGTCGAGCTTGTGCAAGAGCACCAGAATAATATGATGATAAGTACCCAAAACAACACCAAATCAGATCCTAATTATCCAAATGTCATCGGTGGAGATTTGTCCATGTGGGAGCATGAACCAGGAATATACTTCCTTGGTATCCTCAAAGAATTTGTTGAAGACGCCGATGACCATGGGTAAAGATGGTTGAATAGCCTCTTCATGGACAGTGATGAAGAAGACACAAGTATGCTGTGATGTTGTATTGCAAATTTGCAATTAATTATACTCCATCTAAACACTTCAAAGTCCGTTTGTATTCAATTCAAAAACATAAATTTTATGTTATTTGTATGTTCTTCAAACAAAGAAGAAGGGCAAGAGGATGAACCTGATTTCACAATTGGAAGGACGAGGGATGCTAGTAACAATTGTGGCCTCGGAGGCTGAAAGGTGCTCCTCACAGCTGCCGGCTTATTTTTCACGCTTGCCCTAGTAGTTCGGTCCTCCATCTCCCAGAAAAAGAAGCGACAGTAGTCCACAAGCCATCCATGAGTTTGTAATTTTACTTGATACAGACATCTTTGGATTCCCTCCTTGTTTTCAAGATGTTTTCTGCCTTCAAAATATCGAAGTTCAGATGTGTTCAACGTTATCAAATATTGCATAAATATAGCATAAAATACATCCAACATTAACGATATTTAAGAATTTTTCTTCCCCGACACTAATTGCATACAATCCCGTACCAGAGAACAAAAACAGATGGTTGTATACTAGCAGTAAATAATTGGAAAAAAATATATATATGATTCTAAACATACAAGGGAAGGACATTGACACCGGGGAAGAAAAATGTTGAACTGGGGGAAAATATTTTGGCACCGGGGAAAGCAAAAACATCCTATCTGCTTATAAATGTCAAATTTACAAATAAGTAAATGAATTGTTATTGGCACTCCAAAATCTCATTCTACACTCCAAACTTTCTATATTTGGAAAGAAAGATACACTTGTGAGGAGTGTTATTTTTGGAGTGCCAATAACACTTTCCATTAATTGTCATTTACAACAAAATCATGCTTCTTAAAGAGATATTAGATTGACTAATATATCAAATAAATTAGGAGCAGACAATTTCTTAGCTTGAGATCTAAGGACTATACAGCTGATTCAGCCCTGCATTGCTACTTTACTACGAAAGCTGGTTTCTGCTTCTTCAACCCAAACAAATTATTGAGGTCAGCAAGCATAGGAGAAACGGCATTGGTCTCTGGAGCCATTAAATTTACTATCTTCTCATAAACATTGTACCTGCAAAAGCATAATGCAATAAGCCTTCAACAATCTAGCCTAGCTTGCTCAACAGACGCTCCAAGGTATTCCAAAACAAAATCACAGCAGTTTCACATAGGGAACTAAAGAATCTATTGATAACTTATGTTGCGATTCTTAGAGGCTCTTCTGTCAACAATCTTCCTCTTCTTAGCATGCAACTTTTTCAAAGAATAAAATGTTCTCTGCGGATAATCAAATCGTGCAAAATCAAAATCAATAAACAATAGAAGTTCAGGATCAAATAGGTCGTGATTGTTAGCAGGAATTTGTATAGAATTATACAATAAACATCATCCATCCCAAACAATGAATTTGTACCTCATTTGGGAGTTAAAATAGCACATAGCAAAATTGTAAATTCCATGGGACATTTAATTCCAATGAATGTATAAATGGGTCCTCAGATTACTATAGAATTATAGTTAACCCCAATTATATGCAATCAGTACCTTTCCCTTCGCAGTGTTCTCCCCCACAGGAACCTGGACATCAATAACTCGTGTTTAAATTACTAAATGTTAAAAACCAATCATGTTATGATGTTAAAAATATGAAGCACAAATGTATCTGAGCATGCGCGTGAGACCTTGGGAACTCTGAAATTTTCATTTTTTCAATTTAGATATCAGAGTTAATGTCTTACAGTGCCAAATACAGCAACTGCTAATTTCCACATCTGCATCTGCCCAACCATTCTGCTTGGGTCTTTTATATAAGAAGCAACTTATTCACTAATATTCTGCAATTGGAAAAAGAAAAATGAATTCCTAGTGATATCTGGCAAAGCATGGCACAAGTTAGTCATAGGGAAAGGCATGTTTACAAGTTCAATTATAGAACCAGACCTGATCAAAAGCATGCGGCTCGCTTTTAATATCATCAGCGCCTGTGGTCACCTCCGTCTTCCTCTACCATTTGTCTATCAATTTGTTTCTGAAAGATACAACGTGACAGGCCTTAGTTAGACCAAGTAACCCGCGTGGAAATGCACACACTAATGAAAAGTTGAACATAACAGTGAAAAATTTGTCTACTAGTATGTGGGTCTAGTTGATGAGTTTTGTAAGTCTTTCTATACTCATTTCTCTTAGTGTTTGTTCTAGCTTAAGAGTCTAAAGATTTTCTCAGTAATGGGTTTTACCTCGTTAAATCCTACATCATTTGTATACATGTTATTTGTCTTTTTAATTGCAAATGTGTTGGATAAACTTCCACTTATTTTCTTGTAGTGAACTCTATCTTAGACATTCATCAACATATATAGTTTACGACAGAGGACTTTGCAACTATATTATTCAGTGCATTGTTTAATTTGTAAAGCTCTCATTTATCCTAATTATAAAATATAATTGATGCGAGATTTATACGCACACAAATTAAACCCTCTTTTTGTCAATTGTAGTATAAGTATAAGTAGGGATCGTTCTGGACCGGGGATTAGGAGGGATTGCTAAAACCTTGGAAACTGACTCAAAAGCGTAAAAACAAGATAAAACACTAAACTAGACTCAAAGAATGTGAAACTAAACGTTAAAACACTAAGACAAACCAAAAGACTCAAAATGCTTTAAAAACACAAACTAAATTGATTTCTAACTAAATTGAACAATAAAGTAAAGGGGGATTGGATTTGGACGACTTTAAACTAAAAATGGAAACTTGGAAATAAACAAATTGTAAATATGGATTTGACGGAAATGAATGGATGGGAAGCTAGCTAAGGGGTTCATCTCCACATATGTTATACTTGCATACAAAACGATGTCTAATTGCTTTTCAATAAACCATGAATTCTCAACGCCCCGGGTTAATTAGGTCCGCTTAAATTAACCGTCAAGTTTTCCTTAAGTTAATGAATTGGATGATTGCATACGACAATCCAAAGCATTCCTCACAAGTTCCCTACATGAATTGCATAATAGAGATACAAGCAAGAATCATTAAGCATCATGAAAACTATAAGTGTTGACGAGGCATTCGTTACTATGATTGCATGAAACTTATGCCAAGAATATGTTTAACACGATTGTTTATAAGCAACCTCCACTACTTGTGAATATAAGTTCATAACTATTACGTGAAACTCACTTATATTCTAGCGTCAAATTCATGCATGAAAATTAAGCGTTCATTCTTAATAAACATACATAAATAGGTTATCAATTAAACAGTTAAACAAATTGAATTCACAACTTATGAAACGTAATTAAAAGTAATCAAATCATATTACAAACATAAACATAGTTTCGAATCACCCCCTAGCTAAAGGGGGTTTATTTCCTCATACGTACAAAACAAAGAGAATTGAAATTAAACATTGAAATCAAAGAAACGCCTAAACATTCCAACAACTCAATCTTGAATTGTATGAACGTTTAGGCCCTCTTATCTTCCTCTTTATTGTAGCATAAGGTCTAGGGATAGTTGGTTGGGGGGATGGAAGTGTTGGGAAATTATGGAAATGGATGAGGAGTGGTGGAAATGGAAGATGGTTTTTGGATTCTAAGGGAGACTCACGGCTAAGGAAGGTGGATGTGTTTGTGGTGTTGTGTTGTGTTGTGAATGAGATGATCTTTGAATGAATGAATGCAAGGGTATTTATAGGAGGAGTGGAGATGTATATGGCTATTTGTTTAAGGTGTTTGTGGTTGCAATGATGAAGAATTGCATGTGGAAATAAAAGGGAAAATGTGGTGAAATGATGAAGTAGGAAGGTGGAAATGCATGTGAGATGTTGGAAAGGAAATGGGAATATGAGTAGGCCATGGCATGGGAGTTGTTTTGTTGGTGTAAATGTGCCATGGTTGCAATGATGAAGAATAAAGGGTGCATGTGGGGTGGAATTGAATGAATGCAAAGTGAATGAATAATGAAATGAGTTAAAGAGGGGGTGGTGAAATGATGAAGTAGGAAGGTGGAAATGCATGTGACTTGTTTGTGGAATAAAGAATGAATGGTGGAATGATGAAGAGTTGCATAAAGAATGCATGTAGGGTTAGCTAGGTTGGCTTTGTTTGGGTGCATGTGTGTTAATGGTGGTTCTGCATGTGAATTGATGGATTGTTTTTGATGGAATGGATGGTTCTTTGCATGGCTTTTGAAGTGATTGTGGGCTTTGGAATTGGAAGGAAATGCATGGCCTTGGGGTTGGTTTAAGAGAGAATGGGCTAGGCCCTTTGTTTTATGTCCAAAATGAATACAAGGCCTTCAAATTCGTCCAACACTTTGGCTCCAATCATATGCTATCCATTCCAAGCCCAATTTTGCTCCAAAATGCTCCAAAATGCATCTTTTTGCTTCCTTAGCCATATGAACCTAAAAACACACGAAAATGGCTTAAACTACTAAAACAACTATGAATTAACAACATAGATGCACGAAAACAAGCTAAGTAAGTCGCCTAAATATGCTCCTATCAATAATCTGTACAAGACATTTAAAAAATGGAAGTGTCTTTCAAGGATGTCATGTATGGCCATATCCTTTATTTCCACCATCCTTATCAACCGGATGGGGAGATATGTCTTTAAAAGTATGTTATGAAATCGTGGCAAATATTGATTGAGTAATGACGCCTCTAAAAGTAAAATTTGGTTCTATGAAATAATCTCTCATAAAATAAAGTAACGAATAATCAACAAAAGTAACGGTACACCAAGTTGGACCTTCCCAACGTTGAAATGAAATATGAAAGTAGACCAAGTTGCTATTATTCATCTACTCTTTGTTTTTTTTTTTTTTTTTTTAATAAACGATATTGTTTACACGGTTACACTAAGGAAACAGAATGGGCTAAGCCTCACAATGGACTAGCAATAATATGGTTCAAATTCGCATTTGGCGAGAATCAAACTTAAGACCTCTCACTTACAAGTAAAGATGAATACTATTAGATTGTAGTACAAAATATCATTATTCATCCACTTTTAAATAATGAATAATCAAGAAAAACATTGCACGGGGTCCCCCTCTCATCATTGGAATTGGATCCTCTCCTGAGCTTGGGCTCAGGAGCCTCTTGACCAACACACAAAGGCCGTTAGATTTTGATCCAATAACTATAATTATTACAACTTTTAGAGGGTTCCTGTTTTTAGTCATTAGATCAGAATCCAACAACCTTTGTTCAGAAGGCTCCTAAGCCCAAGCTCAGGAGATGATCCAATTCCCTCGTCACTTACCACTAGTGACCATCACTTCCCTAAGCAAAAGACATATTTCCAATTGCTTGACCAAAACAAGCATTGACTTGGTTGTCTGTCCATCAATAACAGGTCCACATCTCAACCCAAATATAATGACGTCAAAGGAGAGGGGAAAATGAGAAGGAAACTCCAGAGGGTAGAGAAAAGGAGAAAAGGAGAAGGGAAAAGTAGAAAAGGAAGGAGGAAAATGAGAGGAAATTTCAGAGAATAGAGAAAAGGAGAAGGGAAAAGAAGAAAAGAAGGAAAAGGGGGAAGGAAGCGTAGGAGAGTAGAGGAAGAGAGGGAAAAGCATAAAAACAAAAAAATAAAAAAGGAATGTCGTCTTCATCATTATGTCTACTAACGGAAAATAGCAAATGCTCCCAACTTCCCTTGTTTCTTACATTGTAAATTGTATTTCGTACAATGAGAAATCAATATTCTTATCCTGAGAACGTAGACATAACTTGCCAAATCTTGTAACTATACGACAAATCTATAACTACATAACAATTCAATCAACCACCTTAAGTTTGACCATACATGTACCTAAATTCAGGTTTTTCTAAACTTTCCTTAAGAAACTACCTGAACATTAAAAGTGCCACATTATTATGCGGTTCTATCAAGTTTAATTTTTGTCTAATTACCTCATCATCTTTAGGACAATCAATCATGTAGTTGAATATATAAACCTTCGAGATGGTGATATTGGAAACAATAGTTGGTGTGTTGATTGGTAGAAATGGTTCCAACAATTCAAGGACGATAAATGAATATGGAGCAACGATCAAACGAGAAATGAGTATACAACAACGATCAAAATGTGTTGTATTTTATCACAAAAAATCTTTGTGCAACTAGAAGTGCATTTTATCACAAAAAGGTGAGCAACGATCAATATCATTGTAATTTAGAAAATCACATATAAAACAGGAAGTAATCTTTTCTTATTCTTTTCATCTCTATCACTAGTGGCCTACCATGACTTAAACAAATACTTTTTGGGTCAATGCATGGGAATGACCCATTTTATAATTGTTTGTTAATTTTCCTGGAAGTAGATAAGAATGACCTAATTAAATATCTCCCCTGCACACAGACATTTGCATTGCACCTAACAAAGACCAGGTTTTTTGTTTGTACACCGATCCACATCAATGGCTCTTGCGAGAAAAAACTCAAGGAACATCCTCCAATTCCAACACTCGTCGGGGTTATCATTACGACGTGTTCTTGAGCTTTAGAGGTGAAGACACTCGCAAGACGTTTACCGACCACCTCTACAGAGCTTTGATAAGCGCAGGATATCGCACATTTCGAGACGACGATGAACTCGAGACGGGAGAAGATATCAAGTCAGGACTGAAGCAAGCAATCCAAATGTCCCGAACTTCTGTCATTGTGTTTTCGAAAGATTACGCGTCGTCCAGATGGTGCCTTAACGAGCTTGTCGAGATCGTTGACCACAAGAGGACTAGCTCGGACCATGTGATTATACCGGTCTTCTACGATATTGATCCGTCCCATGTGAGGAAGCAGACGGGAAGCGTTGCCGAGGCATTTGCTAGACACCGAAAAACTGAACCCCCCGACATGATGGAGAGATGGAGGAAGGCACTTGCAGAGGTTGCAGATCTAGCTGGGAAGGTTTTACAAAATCAAGCTTATGGGTAACTTTCAGTTTCTTCTTTTGTCTTCTCTTTGTTGTTGTTGTTGACCTGTCCAATAAAATCACAAAATATTGATTTACTCAACATAAATGTTCATATGACTTCAGGCAAATTGCTCCAGTAACAATCTCATTTAAGGTCAATTAAGTTGTCATGATCTGTAGCTGCATGGATGATCTTAGAATTATTGATCGAACCTTAGTATAATTTCTCTTGTGAATTCCATGATGATCCGACTTCGTATAATTGATTGATATCGAGTGCACGACATGTTTGATTCATCTTTCATTTTATTTGCAAATTCTTAGGTACGAGTCAAAGTTTATCGAAGATATTGTTCAAGCGATTCGTGATAAGCTAAGTCGCACACACTTGAGCGTTGAACAAAACTGGTTGAGAATCCATTCTCGAGTCGAAAACATCAATTTATGGGTTACAAAATCCATCACATGATTTGGTAGACTTGTTTTTTATGGGCTGCCTGGAATAGGGAAGACAACCATTGCAAAATGTGTTTACAATTCAAACTTTGAAAGTTTTGAAAGAAGCAGCTATTTGAAAGTATCAGAGAAACTGCAAGTCATCCAGACGGCTTAGTTCAAATACAAAAGCAAATTCTTGTGATATTTTAAATGGAAAAAGAGAAATACACAATGTTAGTGAGGGAATAATTAATAGTGGAAGAGCCATAAGCTTGAGAAGAGTTCTTCTTGTTCTGATGATGTGGACCATATGGACCAATTTGATGCAGTACTGAGAATGAAGATCAGTTTTATCCTGGAAGTAAAATAATCATAACAACTAGGCGTAAAAGGTTGCTAAAGGCACATGAAGGTATTACGGTGCATGAAGTTGGACCTTTGGGTTTCGATGAATCATTGGAGCTCTTAAGCCAGCATGCTTTTGGCCAGGATCATCCCCTTGAAGGTTATGAGAAATATTCTGAGGAAGTCGTACAACACGGCGGAAGACTTCCATTAGCTCTCAAAGTTTTGGGTTCTTCTCTTTTCGGGGAACCTAAGCGTGTATGGAAAAGTACATTGGAGAAGTTAAAAGTTATTCCAAATGGTGAAATCATGAATAAATTGAGAATAAGCTACGACTCTTTACAAGATGACCATGACCAAAAATTATTCCTCCATATTGCTTGTTTCTTTATTGGAAAGGATGAAGATTACATTGTCAGAATACTAGATGAATGTGATTTCAAGACAATTGTGGCATTCAAAATCTCAGAGATAGGTGCTTGGTGACAATTGATAGGGACAACAAGTTGTCTATGCATGACATGATGCGTGACATGGGACGAGAAATTGTTCGCCGAGAATCATATGAGCCTGAGAATCGTAGTAGAGATTGTGGCGCTCTAAGGATTCTTTCGAAGTATTGAGAGAAAAGAATGTAAGAAATGTTCATTGTATGTGTGTGTGTGTGTGTTTCTTTTTCTCTTGTGCTAATTAAACCAATTGTTTTTCCGATTTCTTTTATAGGGTACGCAAGCAATTGAAGGTCTTATGTTGGACATGCATGAACTGCTTACAACAGCCCTATCAACTCAAACGAGAATGTCTTGGAAACCAATTCATGTGCAAGGATGCAGAAACTGAAACTGCTCTGCCTTAGACATGTACGACTGGACGGATGTTATGCAAAACTTCCGACAAGGTTAAGATGGTTGTGCTGGCTCGAATTTCCTTTGGATTCAATTCCTGTTGATTTTTCTTTGGAGAAATTGGTAGTTCTTGAAATGCAATATAGCAACTTGAGACAACTCTGCAAAAGAGCAAACGTATGTTACCCTACGCTTTTCATTCTATTTTCCTTCTTTCTTTAGGTTTTAATTCTTTAATTAATTTCATATGTTGGAATCAACTCCTCGTTCTTTTTTTGTTTGTTTATTTTTATTTGTTTCCAGTTTCTTCCTTCGTTGAAGATCCTTGACGTCAGCCATTCCTATGGCCTTACTGAAATCATTGACTTCTCACTTTGCCCCAAACTAGAGGAATTGATTCTTGTGGATTGCACCAGCTTGATTGATGTTCATGAATCCATTGGAAACCTGGAGAGACTCGTGTACTTGAATATGACGGATTGCAAGAATCTTAGGATGCTTCCAAAGAACATGTGCATGCTTAAATCACTTGAAACACTCATTTTATCTGGTTGCTCAAATCTTGGTGAGTTTCCAGTGGAGATGATGAAGGAGATGGAGTCTCTAGGGGTTCTTGCAACAGATGGAATTCCATTAAGGCCAGAAAGAAGTTCAACTATCTTGAGTTCTTTTCCATGCTCTTTAGTAGAGTTGAGTCTGAAGGGGTGCAATCTTTCTGATGATGTCTTTCCTACGGATTTAAGTAATCTATCCTACTTGCGAAGCCTACATTTAGATGGGAATCCAATTTGCAATCTGCCAGTTTTCATCCAAGGTTTGAGAAGGCTCGATCATCTATCTTTCGAGGATTGTAATAGGCTCGAATCGCTTGTAGGGTTGCCGAAAGTACACCAAACGACAATTATAGCCGGATGCATATCATTAAGAAAAATAAAATATCTTCCCCCTGAGCGACGGTCTGGAATGTACATGGTGCATGACAACTACAATCTAGTTGAGTGGGAGCATAAATACAAGATTGAGCCTATTGATAGAGTTGATGTGGAAATAATCAAACTTTTGGGCTTGTGCAACTTGGAATCCATGCCTGCTGTTCGAATGCGTCATCCATTCACAGATAGGGTTCTAAAAAAGGTCCCCGTCCAGGTGCGCCTCTCTTTCTCTCTCTCTTAAGTCTTAAATATATAATGGGAAAGAAATGACTGAGTAATGTTGTGATGATTATGGCAAATACATAGGGACTGTATCAATATGGTATATTCAGCACATTTTTTGCTGGGAATGAGGTTCCAGGCCGGTTCAGTTATAAAAGTACCAAGTCCTCCATGTCTTTTATAGTCCCTTTACTACTTGCTAGTCACAGAATTCGAGGCTTGAACATCTTTGCTACCTATGCAAACAAGGGGAATTATGTTGATAATTGGAATCCTTTTGATCCAACACTACTGACTAAAGTGAGTAACAAGAGCAAGGGTCTGAAGTGGATCTATCGCCCAGAGTTCTATGGAATTCCAGGAGAGGGAGAAGATATGATATGGTTGAGCCATTGGAAGATGGAGAACAAAACAATATTACAATGTGGAGATCAAGTGGTGGTTTCTGTACTGGCCGAGCCAGATGAGTTGATTCAAATAAAGGAGTTTGGTGTCGAGCTTGTGCAAGAACACCAGAATAATATGATGATAAGTACCCAACACCACACCGAATCAGATCCTAATTATCCATATGTCATCAATGGAGATTTGTCCATGCATGAGCATATACCAGGAATATACTTCCTTGGTTATACTGATGAAGATGTTGAAAGTGCTATGAAATATGGGCGGGGAATTTTAGAACGCCTCATCATGGACACTGATGAAGAAGACACAGGTATGCTACGTCGTTGTATTGCAATGAATTATACTACATCCAAACACTTCCAAGTTCGTCTGTATTCAATTCAAAAACATAAATTTTATGTTATTTGTATGTTTTTCAGACAAAGAAGGGCAAGAGGATGCCAGTAACAATTGCGGCCTCGAAGGCTGGAAGGTGCTCCTCACAGCTTTCGGCTTATTTTTCACGCTTGCCCTAGTAGTTCGGTCCTCCATCTCCTAGAAAAAGAAGCGACAGTAGTCCACAAGCCATCCATGAGTTTGTAATTTTACTTCATACAGACATCTTTGGATTCCCTCCTTGTTTTTAAGATGTTTTCTGCCTTCAAACTTCGGGTTCACAGCTAAGCGCTTAACCGCTTGAGATATAAAAACCCTAGCAATTAGATATCGAAGTTCAAATATGTTCAACATCATCAAATATTGCATAGCTCAAATGTGTTCAACATCATCAAATACTGAAATACATCCAGCATTAGCGATGCTATTTCGGCACCGTGGAAAGCAAAAACATCCTATTTGCTTATAAATGTCAAAGTTACAGATCTTAATTGTCATTTACAACAAAATCATGCTTCTTAAAGACTCAACTCCCATTGAAAAATTATGTAAATAAGTATAACAGATACAAGATTGAATAATATATCAAATAAAAACAGCAGACAATTGCATCGCTACTACACTACGGAGCTGGTTTCTGCTTCTTCAACCTGAATTATTAGGGTCAGGAAGCATTAGGAAGAACATCCGTCTCTGAGGCAGATAATCAAATAGTGCAAAATTAGAATAAAAAACAATAGAAGTTCAGGATTGATGAGGTTCCAAGCCCACTACAAGCTGCTGAGACAATGCAGTGTCATTGACTTCAATAGAAGTTCAGATTGTTTGAATGAACTTCCCTAATGAGTCCAAATTGTTTGAAAATCATTAACGAGGATACCGGGCATCACACGGGAGGATAAAATCATTAAGAATTTCAAAAGCCACAACTTTTAAATGCAATCTGATTGCATGTGTTTTGAACTACATGAAATATTATACATTGGGTAAACAGTATTAGTATATCACATTCAAATGCAATCATTCATGTATGAAGTATGAGATGCCCTGATAGTTTTACCAGAAGATGATGGGTCAATTGTCTCAAAAATTATTTCAGTAATGTCTGGTATAACTCAGAGTCATCCAAAAGTTCGGGTCACCATCAGCTTGTGCATCAGCATCAGATTGTGTCACCTATCAAAGTGAAAGAATAAAATTACTCAATTTGTACAAATAGAAATATAACTTTTTATAACACATCAACAAGGTAATTAAAGCGGAACCCACATCGAAGTGGCAAACAAATCAAATTTGTAAATAAAAGATAGGATTAAAGTTAATGGCGAATGAAGTGTACTGAAACAACCACAACCCTCGCACACTGGTTGCAATAAAAGGCACAAATTCGTCAAGTCACATCGTGGCCATCCAAAAAGAAAATTGAAGCAAACACCACAAACAACCCAAAATTTGCTTAAACGTCGTATCAAATTAATTATAAACAGCATCCATCCCAAACAATGAATTTGTACCTCATTTGGGAGTTAAAATGGCACATGGCAAAATTGTAAATTCTGTGGGACATTTAATTCCAATGAATTTATAAATGGGTCCTCAGATTAGTATAGAATTATAGTTAACCACAATTATATGCAATCAGTACCTTTCCCTTTGCAGTGTTCTCCCCCACAGGAACCTGCACATCAATAACTCGTGTTTAAATTACTAAATGTTAAAAACCAATCATGTTATGATGTTAAAAATATGAAGCACAAATGTATCTGAGCATGCGCGTGAGACCTTGGGAACTCTGAAATTTTCATTTTTTCAATTTAGATATCAGAGTTAATGTCTTACAGTGCCAAATACAGCAACTGCTAATTTCCACATCTGCATCTGCCCAACCATTCTGCTTGGGTCTTTTATATAAGAAGCAACTTGTTCACTAATATTCTGCAATTGGAAAAAGAAAAATGAATTCCTGTGATATATGGCAAAGCATGGCACAAGTTAGTCATAGGGAAAGGCATGTTTACAAGTTCAATTATAGAACCAGACCTGATCAAAAGCATGCGGCTCGCTTTTAATATCATCAGCGCCTGTGGTCACCTCCGTCTTCCTCTACCATTTGTCTATCAATTTGTTTCTGAAAGATACAACGTGACAGGCCTTAGTTAGACCAAGTAACCTGCGGGGAAATGCACACACTAATGAAAGTTGAACATAGTAGAATAAATTCCTAAAATTCATGCAAGAGAAGTTATACAGAACTACCCGAGAGTATACTTAAAGTAAACATACAGCAACATAGATTTTTAAAAGTATAATGTACAAATGAATTTCATGGTTCTCTACCGGCCCCTTTAGATAACAAACTAATTTAATTTAGTACCTAATGGAATTTAAAGGTCAGAAAACTATCGTTTGGTATATTTCATATTGAACAGTTGAGACAAACTTAATAACATAATAGCCTGATGTATTAACTGATAAGAAACTATGTATTGAAATATAACAAAAGTTAGACGCTAAGGTATTGAAATACAGCAATAATAGTAAGGTACTTGAATCCACCATTTACAAGAATTTTAAACAATTAAACAACAAAATTCCAAAGTTCTTTTTGCCGCTCCAAATGGTATGAACAATAATGTTCAACAATATTTCAGTTTTATAGATAGGATTCAATATAACAAGAGCATATCTAGATAGTAGAATATGATTCTTCTTTTCAGAATATCCAAATTATGATCTGAGTAATAGTCTGCCCAACTTGTTTTATATAAGAACCAACTTGTTCACTAATATTCTGCCCAACCATTCCTCTTGTAGCCATATCTTCTAACCCAACCCAACCCAACCCAAATTATATGCAGTTTATTTAATAATGCAATCATCTTCCAAGAATAAGGTCCAAATATGTGATCCTTCCATCCTGGATGTCTATATTTCTATCGAATAGAACAATTTGCAATAACACTATGTATGCTAGTACTTAACATAAATACTTACACCAACAACAACAACAATAAAAGATTGGCACAAAAAGCATAAGTCCGTAAAACACGTAGTACTTACCACATGCAATGAATCACACCCTCAGAAGCTGATACTTCTAGGTTATCATACACGTAACCGCAAACTTGGTTTCTTCAAGGAGAGTGAAGCGAAGTCCCTCCTCGAAAGATGGACAAGCGGAACGGCTTCGGTATCGGTAAAAAAAGAAAGAAAAGGTAAGAAATATACCTCATCCGAAACATATAGGCAATAGTTATACTAAAACAATAATTAATTGAAAGGAAAACTAATGAAAAGGGCTTGAAAACTTTGAGTTTTAACGATAAGGACAAAATAAAGAGTAAAGTGAATAGTATCATGATTGACTTTTTAGTGTAAAAATGTGGTTTTTTTTTTAAATGAACAGTATCGTGGGTTTTTCATTAAAACTCCCTTTGACTGAAACCATTGAAGGGGAAAAAAAGCGGAAGTGGATAAAAACTGACCTAACGTACTAAAAAAGGCAAAAGTGGATAAAAAAAAAAACATGAAAAAAAAAAGGGATGAATCCCCAAAATGAGAGAAAATGGAACAAATAAGGGAGTAAATAGAGGGATGAATCCCCCAAAACCTGATCTAACGTACTAAAAAATTAAAAAATCCAAGCTAACAGTAAAGAATCCAATTAAAAAAAGGAACTTATCTTTGGAAATCCACACATGCAGCGCAAGATCCAGCACACACCACCCTAAGTTGCCTCTGTTCATGACCCTTACCCCTCTCCCTGAAATCCTAACAACCCATATGGTTTTCTCGGACCAGTCCCACTCTCCCACTTGTGAAATCCACCTGCAGCAAATCGCTGAGACCCCTTCCCCTCCCCCCTCGCTCTCTTTCCATCTCTCTCTATCTCTCTCTCTCTCTCTCTTGGCCTCCATCCCCTAAACCCTCATTGAATGACAACAAATGCAAACCTACCAGCTACCCACTAATTCGCTGAAAACCGAGAGGACAAAATTGCCCTTCCTAAGACATCATCCCCACCATCGGATTGTAATCTTCGATGGGTAGAACTGTAATTAAATCATTGAGAGCCTGACTGAGGGCCGGGCTTCTTACCGAAAACCAACAGAAGGCTGATGAAGAGAAAAAGGGAGCCCAAACCCCAACCCAACACAGATATGGTGGTAGCATTATGTAAATAAAGCAAAATCAAGGGGCAACAATTTAACTGTAGCTAAGCTACAGTCAAATTATTCCTCAACTTTAGATTGTATAATGAGGGGGTTTTGAACTTAAGATGCAGTTGGGAAAGTAGGCCGCTCTAACCATTTCGAACTTGGGTGCCGCGAGAGGAGTACATTGCTCTAGTCAACTTAGCTAAAACTTAGTCTGCTAAACAAGATATCGATCATTTGGTTTTCCAGATTGTCATGGCATTCGTCTGCAGTTTGAATCCATAACCAAGTAGTTTTCAAGTTTCAACTAGCATTATAAATTTAAGGGAGATGTTAAAAAGTCGTTGCAATCTCGTATATAGAAATTGTTTAATCTTGCGTAATGAATTGATAATAATACCTTTGTAACCAACTTAAACTATGAATATTTTGTATTTCCTTGTTTTCTTTTTGGGAACAAACAATATGATTTTTTTTTTTTAACAAACAATATGATAATTTACTCTAAATTATAGCGAGTGTAGAAAGTTTGAGCTCTAGAAGCAGTGAGTTAAAGAAGAGAAAGACATCATCCAATAAGGCAATCCACTGCTCATTTGTATATATAAGAGCTCAAACGCTAAACAGTTAGTATTAATATATTAAAATGTGAACGGTTTCGACCGGATAACACCCATTTTTTGACGCACAATTTATACAACACACTCCATAACTTTTTCTAAAGATCTAAATCGTCTATATTTTAATTCATTATTCATAAATCATCCTTATAAAAAAAATCTAAAATCACCAAGACATTCATTTGTATTAAAGAAAATATACAAATACTATTATCCAAATAAATACTAAAATGTGAAACGTTTTGATCGGATAACACTCATTTTTTGACGCCCAATTTATACAACGCACTCCATAATTTTTTCTAAAGATCTAAATCGTCTATATTTTAATTCATTATTCATAAATCATCCTTACAAAAGAAAAAAGAAAAAATCTAAAATCACCAAGACATTTATTTGTATTAAAGAAAAAATACAAATACTGTTATGCAAAGAAATACTAAAATCACCAAGACATTCATTTGTATTAATTCTAATTTAACTCATGTTATACCTACAAAAGTACTTGATTAGAACTCCAATAGTAATATTACACTGCATAAACTTGTTTTTTTTCTTAACATACGATAATGTGAAACTTCAAAAATATTCAACAACCACATCATGCAGAAAAATTTACAACCCAAAAGAAACAAATTTAGCAAAACTACCATATCAAACACTAGAGAGAAAACATCTACCAATTTCCAATTGAAGAAAAATAACTAGTCACTTTAAGATGGTTTATTACACATGACATGTTTGATTTATCTTTCATTTTGTTTGCAAATTCTTAGGTACGAGTCAAGGTTTATGGAAAAAATTGTTAAAGTGATTGAAGGCAAGTTAAGTCGCAAGCCATTGAGTGTTGAACCAAAATTGATTGGAATCCATTCTCAAGTCAAAGGTATCAATTTATGGTTACAAGATGGATCAACTGATGTTGGTATACTTGTTGTTTATGGGATGTCTCGAATGGGGAAGACAACAATTGCAAAACATGTTTATAATTCAAACTTTAGAAGCTTTGAAGGAAGTAGTTTCAATGAAAATATCAATGAAATAGTAGATTGACTAAATGGCTTAGTTCAAATACAAATGCAACTTCTTTATGATCTTTCGAACGACAGAGAAGTGAAAATACATGGTGTTGGTGAGGGACTAAGTAAGATTGAAAGAATCATAAGCTCTAGAAGAGTTCTCGTTCTTGATGATGCGAACCATATGGACCAATTAGATGCAGTACTAAAGATGAAAGATCAGTTTTATCTTGGAAGTAAAATGCTTATAACAACCAAGCGTGAAAGGTTGCTAAAAGCATATCAAGTTATAAAGGTGCACAAAGTTGGAACTTTGTATTACGATGAGTCATTAGAGCTTTTCAGTTGGCATCCTTTTCGCCAAGACCATCCCCTTAGAGGTTACATGGAATATTCAAAAAATGTTGTACACTACTGCGACGGACTTCCATTAGCTCTAAAAGTTTTTGGTTCTTCTTTATCATGGGAAAGTATAGATGTATGGGAAAGTACATTGGAGAAGCTAAAAGTTGTCCCTAATGGTGAAATCATGAATAAACTAAGAATGAGCTATGATAGTTTACAAGATGACCATGACCACATTGCTTGTTTCCTAATAGGAATGAACAAAAGCCACATTGTTAGAATACTCGATGGATGTGATTTCTATACAATTGTTGGCATTCAGAATCTCATTGATAGATGCTTGGTGACAATTGATGGATGCAACAACGTGCAAATGCATGACATGATCCGTGACATGGAAGAGAAATTGTTCGTCACAAATCAGAAGAGCCTGGAAAACGTAGTAGATTATGGCGCCAAAAGGATTCTTTCAAAGAACTGAGGGAAAAGAATGTAAGAAGCATGCCTTTTATGTCTATATATGTATTTCTTGTTGTGAAAATTATCCATAGTAACGTTTCCATTTTTTCCTTTAGGGTACAAAAACCATCCAAGGTCTTGTCCTTAATATGCGTATGCATCCTGCAAACAGTCCAATAAACACAAATGAGATAGTCTTGGAAACCAATGCATTTGAAAGGATGTGCATATTACAACTACTACATCTTATTCATGTACAACTGGATGGATGTTATACAGATTTGCCTACAGGATTAAGATGGTTGTGTTGGCTTCAATTTCCTTTGGATACTATACCTATTGAGTTTCCTTTGGGGTGTCTAATTGTTCTTGAAATGCAATACAGTAGCTTAAGACTCGTGTACCTGAATATGAAGGATTGCTAGAATCTTAGGATGCTTCCGAAGAACATGTGCTTGCTTAAATCACTTGAAACACTTATTTTATCTGGTTGCTCAAATCATGACGAGTTTCCAGTGGAGACGATGAAGAAGATGGAGTCTCTAAAAGTTCTTGAAACAAATGGAATTCCATTAAGTGAATTATGGCCAGAAAGAAGTTCAACTGTCTTGAGTTCTTTTCCATGCTCTTTAGTTAAGTTGTATCTCAGTAGGTGCAATATTTCTGATGATGCCTTTTGTAGGGATTTAGGTAGTCTATCCTCGTTGCGAAGATTAAAGTTAGATGAGAATCCAATTTGCAGTCTGCTAGGTTTCATCAAAGGTTTGAGGAGGCTCGATAAACTCTCTTTTCGTAATTGTAAGAAGCTCAAATTGCTTGTGGGGTTGCCAAGAGTACACGAAAAGATGGATGTATCCAATTGCATATCATTGAAAAAAGTAGCATATCAATCGTTTGAGGGACTCCAACTAGAGGCCTTTCTGAATGACATATTTTTTTGTTGGGAATGAGATTTTAGGCCGGTTCAGCTATTAAAGTACCAAGTCCTCCATATCCTTTATTGTCCCTTTACTCCCTCCTAGTCACAAAATCTGAGGCTTGAACATCTTTGCTACCTATGGAAACGAGGAGAATTCTAATTATAATGATGATGATGATGATGACGACCACGATAAACCTCCAATGATAATCAAAGTAACAAGAGCAAGGGTCTGAAGTGGATCTATGGCCCATATTTCTACGATATTCCAGAAGAGGGAAAAGATATGATATGGTTGAGCCATTGGAGGATGGAGAGTGAAACAACATTACAATGTGGAGAAGAAGTGCTTGTTTCAATACTCATGAGACCTGGTGAGTTTCAGCTCAAGGAGTTTGGTGTCGAGCTTGTGCAAGAGCACCAGAATAATATGATGATAAGTACCCAAAACAACACCAAATCAGATCCTAATTATCCAAATGTCATCGGTGGAGATTTGTCCATGTGGGAGCATGAACCAGGAATATACTTCCTTGGTATCCTCAAAGAATTTGTTGAAGACGCCGATGACCATGGGTAAAGATGGTTGAATAGCCTCTTCATGGACAGTGATGAAGAAGACACAAGTATGCTGTGATGTTGTATTGCAAATTTGCAATTAATTATACTCCATCTAAACACTTCAAAGTCCGTTTGTATTCAATTCAAAAACATAAATTTTATGTTATTTGTATGTTCTTCAAACAAAGAAGAAGGGCAAGAGGATGAACCTGATTTCACAATTGGAAGGACGAGGGATGCTAGTAACAATTGTGGCCTCGGAGGCTGAAAGGTGCTCCTCACAGCTGCCGGCTTATTTTTCACGCTTGCCCTAGTAGTTCGGTCCTCCATCTCCCAGAAAAAGAAGCGACAGTAGTCCACAAGCCATCCATGAGTTTGTAATTTTACTTGATACAGACATCTTTGGATTCCCTCCTTGTTTTCAAGATGTTTTCTGCCTTCAAAATATCGAAGTTCAGATGTGTTCAACGTTATCAAATATTGCATAAATATAGCATAAAATACATCCAACATTAACGATATTTAAGAATTTTTCTTCCCCGACACTAATTGCATACAATCCCGTACCAGAGAACAAAAACAGATGGTTGTATACTAGCAGTAAATAATTGGAAAAAAATATATATATGATTCTAAACATACAAGGGAAGGACATTGACACCGGGGAAGAAAAATGTTGAACTGGGGGAAAATATTTTGGCACCGGGGAAAGCAAAAACATCCTATCTGCTTATAAATGTCAAATTTACAAATAAGTAAATGAATTGTTATTGGCACTCCAAAAATCTCATTCTACACTCCAAACTTTCTATATTTGGAAAGAAAGATACACTTGTGAGGAGTGTTATTTTTGGAGTGCCAATAACACTTTCCATTAATTGTCATTTACAACAAAATCATGCTTCTTAAAGAGATATTAGATTGACTAATATATCAAATAAATTAGGAGCAGACAATTTCTTAGCTTGAGATCTAAGGACTATACAGCTGATTCAGCCCTGCATTGCTACTTTACTACGAAAGCTGGTTTCTGCTTCTTCAACCCAAACAAATTATTGAGGTCAGCAAGCATAGGAGAAACGGCATTGGTCTCTGGAGCCATTAAATTTACTATCTTCTCATAAACATTGTACCTGCAAAAGCATAATGCAATAAGCCTTCAACAATCTAGCCTAGCTTGCTCAACAGACGCTCCAAGGTATTCCAAAACAAAATCACAGCAGTTTCACATAGGGAACTAAAGAATCTATTGATAACTTATGTTGCGATTCTTAGAGGCTCTTCTGTCAACAATCTTCCTCTTCTTAGCATGCAACTTTTTCAAAGAATAAAATGTTCTCTGCGGATAATCAAATCGTGCAAAATCAAAATCAATAAACAATAGAAGTTCAGGATCAAATAGGTCGTGATTGTTAGCAGGAATTTGTATAGAATTATACAATAAACATCATCCATCCCAAACAATGAATTTGTACCTCATTTGGGAGTTAAAATAGCACATAGCAAAATTGTAAATTCCATGGGACATTTAATTCCAATGAATGTATAAATGGGTCCTCAGATTACTATAGAATTATAGTTAACCCCAATTATATGCAATCAGTACCTTTCCCTTCGCAGTGTTCTCCCCCACAGGAACCTGGACATCAATAACTCGTGTTTAAATTACTAAATGTTAAAAACCAATCATGTTATGATGTTAAAAATATGAAGCACAAATGTATCTGAGCATGCGCGTGAGACCTTGGGAACTCTGAAATTTTCATTTTTTCAATTTAGATATCAGAGTTAATGTCTTACAGTGCCAAATACAGCAACTGCTAATTTCCACATCTGCATCTGCCCAACCATTCTGCTTGGGTCTTTTATATAAGAAGCAACTTATTCACTAATATTCTGCAATTGGAAAAAGAAAAATGAATTCCTAGTGATATCTGGCAAAGCATGGCACAAGTTAGTCATAGGGAAAGGCATGTTTACAAGTTCAATTATAGAACCAGACCTGATCAAAAGCATGCGGCTCGCTTTTAATATCATCAGCGCCTGTGGTCACCTCCGTCTTCCTCTACCATTTGTCTATCAATTTGTTTCTGAAGATACAACGTGACAGGCCTTAGTTAGACCAAGTAACCCGCGTGGAAATGCACACACTAATGAAAAGTTGAACATAACAGTGAAAAATTTGTCTACTAGTATGTGGGTCTAGTTGATGAGTTTTGTAAGTCTTTCTATACTCATTTCTCTTAGTGTTTGTTCTAGCTTAAGAGTCTAAAGATTTTCTCAGTAATGGGTTTTACCTCGTTAAATCCTACATCATTTGTATACATGTTATTTGTCTTTTTAATTGCAAATGTGTTGGATAAACTTCCACTTATTTTCTTGTAGTGAACTCTATCTTAGACATTCATCAACATATATAGTTTACGACAGAGGACTTTGCAACTATATTATTCAGTGCATTGTTTAATTTGTAAAGCTCTCATTTATCCTAATTATAAAATATAATTGATGCGAGATTTATACGCACACAAATTAAACCCTCTTTTTGTCAATTGTAGTATAAGTATAAGTAGGGATCGTTCTGGACCGGGGATTAGGAGGGATTGCTAAAACCTTGGAAACTGACTCAAAAGCGTAAAAACAAGATAAAACACTAAACTAGACTCAAAGAATGTGAAACTAAACGTTAAAACACTAAGACAAACCAAAAGACTCAAAATGCTTTAAAAACACAAACTAAATTGATTTCTAACTAAATTGAACAATAAAGTAAAGGGGGATTGGATTTGGACGACTTTAAACTAAAAATGGAAACTTGGAAATAAAACAAATTGTAAATATGGATTTGACGGAAATGAATGGATGGGAAGCTAGCTAAGGGGTTCATCTCCACATATGTTATACTTGCATACAAAACGATGTCTAATTGCTTTTCAATAAACCATGAATTCTCAACGCCCCGGGTTAATTAGGTCCGCTTAAATTAACCGTCAAGTTTTCCTTAAGTTAATGAATTGGATGATTGCATACGACAATCCAAAGCATTCCTCACAAGTTCCCTACATGAATTGCATAATAGAGATACAAGCAAGAATCATTAAGCATCATGAAAACTATAAGTGTTGACGAGGCATTCGTTACTATGATTGCATGAAACTTATGCCAAGAATATGTTTAACACGATTGTTTATAAGCAACCTCCACTACTTGTGAATATAAGTTCATAACTATTACGTGAAACTCACTTATATTCTAGCGTCAAATTCATGCATGAAAATTAAGCGTTCATTCTTAATAAACATACATAAATAGGTTATCAATTAAACAGTTAAACAAATTGAATTCACAACTTATGAAACGTAATTAAAAGTAATCAAATCATATTACAAACATAAACATAGTTTCGAATCACCCCCTAGCTAAAGGGGGTTTATTTCCTCATACGTACAAAACAAAGAGAATTGAAATTAAACATTGAAATCAAAGAAACGCCTAAACATTCCAACAACTCAATCTTGAATTGTATGAACGTTTAGGCCCTCTTATCTTCCTCTTTATTGTAGCATAAGGTCTAGGGATAGTTGGTTGGGGGGATGGAAGTGTTGGGAAATTATGGAAATGGATGAGGAGTGGTGGAAATGGAAGATGGTTTTTGGATTCTAAGGGAGACTCACGGCTAAGGAAGGTGGATGTGTTTGTGGTGTTGTGTTGTGTTGTGAATGAGATGATCTTTGAATGAATGAATGCAAGGGTATTTATAGGAGGAGTGGAGATGTATATGGCTATTTGTTTAAGGTGTTTGTGGTTGCAATGATGAAGAATTGCATGTGGAAATAAAAGGGAAAATGTGGTGAAATGATGAAGTAGGAAGGTGGAAATGCATGTGAGATGTTGGAAAGGAAATGGGAATATGAGTAGGCCATGGCATGGGAGTTGTTTTGTTGGTGTAAATGTGCCATGGTTGCAATGATGAAGAATAAAGGGTGCATGTGGGGTGGAATTGAATGAATGCAAAGTGAATGAATAATGAAATGAGTTAAAGAGGGGGTGGTGAAATGATGAAGTAGGAAGGTGGAAATGCATGTGACTTGTTTGTGGAATAAAGAATGAATGGTGGAATGATGAAGAGTTGCATAAAGAATGCATGTAGGGTTAGCTAGGTTGGCTTTGTTTGGGTGCATGTGTGTTAATGGTGGTTCTGCATGTGAATTGATGGATTGTTTTTGATGGAATGGATGGTTCTTTGCATGGCTTTTGAAGTGATTGTGGGCTTTGGAATTGGAAGGAAATGCATGGCCTTGGGGTTGGTTTAAGAGAGAATGGGCTAGGCCCTTTGTTTTATGTCCAAAATGAATACAAGGCCTTCAAATTCGTCCAACACTTTGGCTCCAATCATATGCTATCCATTCCAAGCCCAATTTTGCTCCAAAATGCTCCAAAATGCATCTTTTTGCTTCCTTAGCCATATGAACCTAAAAACACACGAAAATGGCTTAAACTACTAAAACAACTATGAATTAACAACATAGATGCACGAAAACAAGCTAAGTAAGTCGCCTAAATATGCTCCTATCAATAATCTGTACAAGACATTTAAAAAATGGAAGTGTCTTTCAAGGATGTCATGTATGGCCATATCCTTTATTTCCACCATCCTTATCAACCGGATGGGGAGATATGTCTTTAAAAGTATGTTATGAAATCGTGGCAAATATTGATTGAGTAATGACGCCTCTAAAAGTAAAATTTGGTTCTATGAAATAATCTCTCATAAAATAAAGTAACGAATAATCAACAAAAGTAACGGTACACCAAGTTGGACCTTCCCAACGTTGAAATGAAATATGAAAGTAGACCAAGTTGCTATTATTCATCTACTCTTTGTTTTTTTTTTTTTTTTTTTTTAATAAACGATATTGTTTACACGGTTACACTAAGGAAACAGAATGGGCTAAGCCTCACAATGGACTAGCAATAATATGGTTCAAATTCGCATTTGGCGAGAATCAAACTTAAGACCTCTCACTTACAAGTAAAGATGAATACTATTAGATTGTAGTACAAAATATCATTATTCATCCACTTTTAAATAATGAATAATCAAGAAAAACATTGCACGGGGTCCCCCTCTCATCATTGGAATTGGATCCTCTCCTGAGCTTGGGCTCAGGAGCCTCTTGACCAACACACAAAGGCCGTTAGATTTTGATCCAATAACTATAATTATTACAACTTTTAGAGGGTTCCTGTTTTTAGTCATTAGATCAGAATCCAACAACCTTTGTTCAGAAGGCTCCTAAGCCCAAGCTCAGGAGATGATCCAATTCCCTCGTCACTTACCACTAGTGACCATCACTTCCCTAAGCAAAAGACATATTTCCAATTGCTTGACCAAAACAAGCATTGACTTGGTTGTCTGTCCATCAATAACAGGTCCACATCTCAACCCAAATATAATGACGTCAAAGGAGAGGGGAAAATGAGAAGGAAACTCCAGAGGGTAGAGAAAAGGAGAAAAGGAGAAGGGAAAAGTAGAAAAGGAAGGAGGAAAATGAGAGGAAATTTCAGAGAATAGAGAAAAGGAGAAGGGAAAAGAAGAAAAGAAGGAAAAGGGGGAAGGAAGCGTAGGAGAGTAGAGGAAGAGAGGGAAAAGCATAAAAACAAAAAAATAAAAAAGGAATGTCGTCTTCATCATTATGTCTACTAACGGAAAATAGCAAAATGCTCCCAACTTCCCTTGTTTCTTACATTGTAAATTGTATTTCGTACAATGAGAAATCAATATTCTTATCCTGAGAACGTAGACATAACTTGCCAAATCTTGTAACTATACGACAAATCTATAACTACATAACAATTCAATCAACCACCTTAAGTTTGACCATACATGTACCTAAATTCAGGTTTTTCTAAACTTTCCTTAAGAAACTACCTGAACATTAAAAGTGCCACATTATTATGCGGTTCTATCAAGTTTTAATTTTTGTCTAATTACCTCATCATCTTTAGGACAATCAATCATGTAGTTGAATATATAAACCTTCGAGATGGTGATATTGGAAACAATAGTTGGTGTGTTGATTGGTAGAAATGGTTCCAACAATTCAAGGACGATAAATGAATATGGAGCAACGATCAAACGAGAAATGAGTATACAACAACGATCAAAATGTGTTGTATTTTATCACAAAAAATCTTTGTGCAACTAGAAGTGCATTTTATCACAAAAAGGTGAGCAACGATCAATATCATTGTAATTTAGAAAATCACATATAAAACAGGAAGTAATCTTTTCTTATTCTTTTCATCTCTATCACTAGTGGCCTACCATGACTTAAACAAATACTTTTTGGGTCAATGCATGGGAATGACCCATTTTATAATTGTTTGTTAATTTTCCTGGAAGTAGATAAGAATGACCTAATTAAATATCTCCCCTGCACACAGACATTTGCATTGCACCTAACAAAGACCAGGTTTTTTGTTTGTACACCGATCCACATCAATGGCTCTTGCGAGAAAAACTCAAGGAACATCCTCCAATTCCAACACTCGTCGGGGTTATCATTACGACGTGTTCTTGAGCTTTAGAGGTGAAGACACTCGCAAGACGTTTACCGACCACCTCTACAGAGCTTTGATAAGCGCAGGATATCGCACATTTCGAGACGACGATGAACTCGAGACGGGAGAAGATATCAAGTCAGGACTGAAGCAAGCAATCCAAATGTCCCGAACTTCTGTCATTGTGTTTTCGAAAGATTACGCGTCGTCCAGATGGTGCCTTAACGAGCTTGTCGAGATCGTTGACCACAAGAGGACTAGCTCGGACCATGTGATTATACCGGTCTTCTACGATATTGATCCGTCCCATGTGAGGAAGCAGACGGGAAGCGTTGCCGAGGCATTTGCTAGACACCGAAAAACTGAACCCCCCGACATGATGGAGAGATGGAGGAAGGCACTTGCAGAGGTTGCAAATCTAGCTGGGAAGGTTTTACAAAATCAAGCTTATGGGTAACTTTCAGTTTCTTCTTTTGTCTTCTCTTTGTTGTTGTTGTTGACCTGTCCAATAAAATCACAAAATATTGATTTACTCAACACAAATGTTCATATGACTTCAGGCAAATTGCTCCAGTAACAATCTCATTTAAGGTCAATTAAGTTGTCATGATCTGTACCATGGTGATCAGAATTATTGATCGAACCTTAGTATAATTTTCTCTTGTGAATTCCATGATGATCAGACTTCGTATAATTGATTGATATCGAGTGCACGACATGTTTGATTCATCTTTCATTTTATTTGCAAATTGTTAGGTACGAATCAAAGTTTATCAAAGATATTGTTCAAGCGATTCATGATAAGCTAAGTCGCACACACTTGAGCGTTGAACCAAAACTGGTTGGAATCCATTCTCGAGTCGAACACATCAATTTATGGTTACAAGATCCATCACATGATGTTGGTATACTTGTTTTTTATGGGCTGCCTGGAATAGGGAAGACAACCATTGCAAAATGTGTTTACAATTCAAACTTTGAAAGTTTTGAAAGAAGCAGCTATGTTGAAAGTATCGGAGAAACTGCAAGTCATCCAGACGGCTTAGTTCGAATACAAAAGCAAATTCTTTGTGATATTTTAAATGGGAAAAAAGAGAAAATACACAATGTTAGTGAGGGAATAATTAAGATTGGAAGAGCCATAAGCTTGAGAAGAGTTCTTCTTGTTCTTGATGATGTGGACCATATGGACCAATTTGAAGCAGTACTGAGAATGAAAGATCAATTTTATCCTGGAAGTAAAATAATCATAACAACTAGGCGTAAAAGGTTGCTAAAGGCACATGAAGGTATTACGATGCATGAAGTTGGACCTTTGGGTTTCGATGAATCATTGGAGCTCTTAAGCCAGCATGCTTTTGGCCAGGATTATCCCCTTGAAGGTTATGAGAAATATTCTGAGGAAGTCGTACAACACAGCGGAAGACTTCCATTAGCTCTCAAAGTTTTGGGTTCTTCTCTTTTCGGGGAACCTAAGCGTGTATGGAAAAGTACAGTGGAGAAGTTAAAAGTTATTCCAAATGGTGAAATCATGAATAAATTGAGAATAAGCTACGACTCTTTACAAGATGACCATAACCAGAAATTATTCCTCCATATTGCTTGTTTCTTTATTGGAAAGGATGAAGATTACATTGTCAGAATACTAGATGGATGTGATTTCAAGACAATCTGTGGCATTCAAAATCTCATTGATCGATGCTTGGTGACAATTGATAGGGACAACAAGTTGTCTATGCATGACATGATTCGTGACATGGGACGAGAAATTGTTCGCCAAGAATCATATGAGCCTGAGAATCGTAGTAGATTGTGGCGCTCTAAGGATTTTTTCGAAGTATTGCGAGAAAAGAATGTAAGAAATGTTCATTGTATGTGTGTGTGTGTGTGTTTCTTTTTCTCTTGTGCTAATTAACCAATTGTTTTTCCGATTTCTTTTATAGGGTACGCAAGCAATTGAAGGTCTTATGTTGGACATGCATGAACTGCTTACAAACAGCCCTATAAACTCAAACGAGAATGTCTTGGAAACCAATTCATTTGCAAGGATGCACAAACTGAAACTACTCTGTCTTAGACATGTACGACTGGATGGATGTTATGCAGAACTTCCGACATGGTTAAGATGGTTGTGCTGGCTCGAATTTCCTTTGGATTCAATTCCTGTTGATTTTTCTTTGGAGAAATTGGTAGTTCTTGAAATGCAATATAGCAACTTGAGACAACTCTGCAAAAGAGCAAACGTATGTTACCCTACGCTTTTCAATCTATTTTCCTTCTTTCTTTAGGTTTTAATTCTTTAATTAATTTCATATGTTGGAATCAACTCCTAGTTATTTTTTTGTTTTTTATTTTTCTTTGTTTCCAGTTTCTTCCTTCGTTGAAGATCCTTGACGTCAGCCATTCCCATGGCCTTACTGAAATCGTTGACTTCTCACTTTGCCCCAAACTAGAGGAATTGATTCTTGTGGATTGCACCAGCCTGATTGATGTTCATGAATCCATTGGAAACCTGAAAAGACTCGCGTACTTGAATATGAAGGATTGCAAGAATCTTAGGATGCTTCCGAAGAACATGTGCATGCTTAAATCACTTGAAACACTCATTTTATCTGGTTGCTCAAATCTTGATGAGTTTCCGGTGGAGATGATGAACAAGATGGAGTATGTGAAAGTTCTTGAAATAGATGGAATTCCATTAAGGCCAGAAAGAAGTTCAACTATCTTGAGTTCTTTTCCATGCTCTTTAGTAGAGTTAAGTCTGAAGGGGTGCAATCTTTCTGATGATGTCTTTCCTACGGATTTAAGTAATCTATCCTACTTGCGAAGCCTACATTTAGATGGGAATCCAATTTGCAGTATGCCAGTTTTCATCAAAGGTTTGAGAAGGCTCGATCATCTATCTTTCCGGGATTGTAATAGGCTCGAATCGCTTGTGATGTTGCGAAAAGTACACCAATATACAAGTATAGAAGGATGCATATCATTAAGAAAAATAAAATATCTTCCCCATGAGCAACGGTCTGAAAGGTGCTATGTGGGTGGCAACCACAATCTAGTTGAGTGGGAGCATAGATACAAGATAGAGCCTATTGATAGAGTTGATGTGGAAATAATCAAACTTTCGGGCTTGTGCAACTTGGAATCCATGCCAGCTGTTCGAATGCGTCATCCATTCGCAAACAGGCGTCCAAAAGAGGTCCAGCCGGTCCAGGTGTGCCTCTCTTTCTCTCTCTCTCATAAGTCTTAAATGACTTAGTAATGTTGTGATGATTATGGCAAATACATAGGGACTGTATCAATATGGTATATTCAGCACATTTTTTGCTGGGAATGAGGTTCCAGGCCGGTTCAGTTATCAAAGTACCAAGTCCTCCATATCTTTTATAGTCCCTTTACTACTTGCTAGTCACAGAATTCGAGGCTTGAACATCTTTGCTACCTATGCAAACAAGGGGAATTATAATGATATATCACCCTTAATTCATCCAATACTGACTAAAGTGAGTAACAAGAGCAAGGGTCTGAAGTGGATCTATCGCCCAGATTTCTATGGAATTCCAGGAGAGGGAGAAGATATGATATGGTTGAGCCATTGGAAGATGGAGAACGAAACAATATTACAATGTGGAGATCAAGTGGTGGTTTCTGTAGTGGCCGATGAGTTGTTTATAAAGGAGTTTGGTGTCGAGCTTGTGCAAGAACACCAGAATAATATAATGATAAGTACCCAACACAACACCAAATCAGATCCTAATTATCCATTTGTCATCGGTGGAGATTTGTCCATGTGGGAGCATATACCAGGAATATACTTCCTTGGTTACGGTAAAGACTATGTTGAACAGACTATGAAATCTCCGCGGAGTATTTTATATCGCCTCATGATGGACACTGATGAAGAAGACATTGGTATGTTTCCGCGGACATTTTTAAATCGCCTCATCATGGACAGTGATGAAGAAGACACAGGTATGCTATGTTGTTGTATTGCAATGAATTATACTCCATCCAAACACTTCCAAGTTCGTCTGTATTCAATTCAAAAACATAAATTTTATGTTATTTGTATGTTTTCAGACAAAGAAGAAGGGCAGGAGGATGAACCTGATTACACAATTGGAAGGACGAGGGATGCCAATAACAATTTCGGCCTCAAAGGCTGGAAGGTGCTCCTTACAGCTGCCGGCTTATTTTTCACGCTTGCCCTAGTAGTTCGGTCCTCCATCTCCCAGAAAAAGAAGCAACAGTAGTCCACAAACGATCCATGAGTTTGTAATTTTACTTGACACAGACATCTTTGGATTCCCTCCTTGTTTTCAAGATGTTTTCAGGAAGCATTAGGAGGAACATCTGTCTCTGAGGCAGATAATCAAATAGTGCAAAATTAGAATAAAAAAACAATAGAAGTTCAGGATTGATGAGGTTCCAAGCCCACTACAAGCTGCTGAGACAATGCTGTGTCATTGACTTCAATAGACGCAGATACGGATTGTTTGAATGAAACTTCCCTCATGACGTAGATACGGAAGAGTCCAAATTGTTTGAAAATCATTAAAGTTAATGGCGCATGAAGAGTACTGAAACACTCACAGCCCTCGCACACTGGTTGCAAATTCGTCAAGTCACATCGGGGCCATCCAAAAAGAAAATTGAGGCAAACACCACAAACAACCCGAAATTTGCTAAAACGCTGTATCAAATTAATTATAAACAGCATCCATCCCAAACAATGAATTTGTACCTCATTTGGGAGTTAAAATAGCACATGGCAAAATTGTAAATTCAATGGGACATTTAATTCCAATGAATTTATAAATGGGTCCTCAGATTAGTATAGAATTATAGTTAACCACAATTATATGCAATCAGTACCTTTCCCTTTGCAGTGTTCTCTCCCACAGGAACCTGCACATCAATAACTCCTGTTTAAATTACTAAATGTTAAAAACCAATCTTGTTATGATGTTAAAAATATGAAGCACAAATGTATCTGAGCATGCGCGTGAGACCTTGGGAACTCTGAAATTTTCATTTTTTTTTCAATTTAGATATAAGAGTTAATGTCTTACAGTGCCAAATACAGAAACTGCTAATTTCCACATCTGCATCTGCCCAACCATTCTGCTTGGGTCTTTTATATAAGAAGCAACTTGTTCACTAATATTCTGCTATTGGAAAAAGAAAGATGAATTCCTAGTGATATCTGGCAAAGCATGGCACAAGTTAGTCATAGGGAAAGGCACGTTTACAAGTTCAATTAAAGAACCAGACCTGATTAAAAGTATGCGGCTCGCTTTTAATATCAGCAGCGCCAGTGGTCAACTCCGTCTTCCTCTGCCATTTGTCTATCAATTTGTTTCTGAAAGTAGCTATTCTACAAGATACAACGTGATAGGCCTTAGTTAGACCAAGTAACCCGCATGGAATTGCACATACGTTTTGTTGATCTACTCTGAACTTCCCACCTAATACGCGTAAACCATCACATATTTGTTTTCAATAACCTAATCATTAAAATTCTAAATAAGAAAAACTTCCAACTATTTCTAAAAAAGAACATTTCAGACTCCAGTTAATTTAGGCAGGACTGAGGATATAAAGATGAGTATTTTCTTCCTTGACCAACCAAAAAATGGAAGAGAAGGAATTTCTCCCCTTCTTTTTCCCCTCCTTGCAGACTACACAAGCCATTCAGAAGGGAAGAAATCTCATTCATGCATTGTCAACTCAATAGCAATCCACATATTTAATTTCTCTTGTAGCCATATCTTCTAACCCAACCCAACCCAAATTATATGCAGTTTATTTAATAATGCAATCATCTTCCAAGAATAAGGTCCAAATATGTGACCCTTCCATCCTGGATGTCTATATTTCTATCGAATGGAACAATTTGCAATAACACTATGTTTGCTAGTACTTAACATAAATACTTACACCAACAACAACAACAATAAAAGATTGGCGCAGAAAGCATAGGTCCGTAAAACACGTAGTACTTACCACATGCAATGAATGACACCCTTAGAAGCTGATGCTTCTAGGTTATCATATACGTAACCGCAAACTTGGTTTCTTCAAGGAGAGTGAAGCGAAGTCCCTCCTCAAAAGAGGGACGAGCGGAGCGGCTTCCGTATCGGTAAGGAAAGAAAGAAAAGGTAAGAAAAATACCTCATCTGAAACATATAGGCAATAGTTATACTAAAACAACAATTAATTGAAATCATTGAAGGGGAAAAAAAGCAAAGGTGGATAAAAACTTAGAATTCAACAAAGATTGTGTTCCCAAACTAAATACATGATAAACTTAACAATTAAACTGTAAAATTAACAACAATTAAACAAATTAACAAACTGAAAACCCACAAAAAAAAAAAAAGGGATGAATCCCCAAAATGAGAGAAAATGAAACAAATAAGGGAGTAAACAGAGGGACGAATCCCCCAAAACCTCACTTAACGTACTAAAAAATTCAAAAACCTAAGCTAACAGCCTAACAGTAAAGAATCCAATTAAAAACATGAACTTATCTTTGGAAATCCAGGCAAGCAGCACAAGATCCGGCACACACCACCCTCAGTTGCCTCTGTTCATGATCCCTACCCCTCTCCCTGAAATCCTGACGACCCATACGGTTTTCTCTGACCATCCTCACTCTCCCACTTGTGAAATCCATCTGCAGCAACAGCACTGAGACCCCTACCCCCCCCCCCCCCCCGGGTCTCTTTCCATCTCTCTCTCTCTCTCTCTCTCTCTCTCTCACACACACACATATAGTGATATTCATTATGAACTATACTACATAAAATACGTCCCTTTTTCTACGTTGAAGCCTTTTGATAAATTACTTTCTACACATTCATGGAGCCAATACTTTGATTGCCCAAGAAAGCAACCATTTGTTTCACACTAGACGCCAAACTCAACGTAGCATGTTAAGTGCCCGGAAAGACCATAAGGATTAGGCCTTGCAAGGATGCAATGCTGTCCCAGACTTACAGGGGAACCTTGTTGCTTGTTCTTTATATTCCCAAAATCCCATTCACTAATCATACAAATTGGATTCCTTCAGGAATATAAGATAATCAACAGCCATATTTGATTCAAACAAATCTCTCTAAAGCCTGAAATGGATAGTGAAGGCCACTGTTTATTTGTAGTTTGTACCCTGACAAAGCACAAGTCTAGGTAACTTGCCTATAATCAACAACATCTAAAAGGATAAAGATACATAACGCACGCAAAGAAAGAGCCAAACCTACGTAACCAGTCAAATTCAAGTTCATTTCTATAACTCAAGATACTTTGGTTCTCCATTTGGGAAAATCTTCAACCGGTTTAACTGAAAATACTCTAGTATACTCATGTGTACTCTATATTTGGTTAAAGAACTTCCAACAGTTTTAAGCACATTGAATCATGCAACTATTACCAACCGCTAACGAGATTCGTGTTATATACAGACAACAAATCTATACAAAACCACCTTCTAGCAAAACAAAGTTCATTATCTCTATCGATTTCAAATTTCAATTCGATAGATTACGTAAGATACTCGAAACCAAAATCGGATAGCATTCATAAGGTATAACTACTTACTTCATGAGAATTTCATAGCACTCGGGATCCAAAGAAGAAAACATTGCATCCACATCTTTAATAGCCATGATAGCTGTATGCACCATTATCCAATTTGCAGACTGCAAAACTCAAAAAAATAAAAAATCTCATCACTTTCTTTTCATTCCACACCAAACAGGACACTTAAGATTATAATTAAACACAGGGGAACAATTCCGATTGGTACCCAAGAAAACCACTGGAAAAACAATAAGAAAAGAAGAATCAAGTTCTAAACTTGCAATTCAATTTTCTATTCCATCAATTGATTTTCTCGGCAACCAAACAGAAGATTAGCAAAAGAGAAAAGACAAACCTTGCAGCGCTCGTCTTTGGTGTTGAGAGACGAGCCTTCAAGAGCAGTTTTTAGAGCTTCAACTGTCTTGTACCTTTTTAGAGCTTCAACTGTCTTGTACCTAGATGAAAAACGGATCAAACAGTTAAGGTTTTTGGGGAATTACCAAATCATTAAGGGGTTTTACAGAAAATTGAATGTACAAAGGGGAAAGGATTTGGAGTGATACAGTTTGAGTAAGCTCTCGATCTTTCAAGATTTTTGTTCGATTCTGTTGATTATGGCCTCTGCATTATCTGCTTCCACAAATTCCTCTGTTCCTGCCATCCCTCTCTCCCTCTCCTCCCTTCCCCTCCCCCTTTCCCCCACAACCCCCCCCCCCCCCACCCCTTCCTCCTCCTTTTCCCTCCCTCTCTTATTTGTTTCACTGTGATTTTCTCATATGGCAATTGGAAAAGACGCGAGGAAACATATTCCCGCGAAAGTGACACGGCAGGTGGACCAAACTGTATATTGGGCTGGGTCCTAGGTCGGCCCAAAGATAACCTTGAATTCATACCATTTGATAGTCTAAATTTTTGTTAAATTAGTAAGTAGACAGTGTCAAAAAACTATTTAGCGACTCAATTTAATTTTTTTTTTATCTCCAATAACATTTTTTATTTTAACAAATTTAAATATTTTATTATTAATAATTCAAACTCAGCCCACTCTTTTTCTAAAAGAGTCTTATCTCTCTTCATGTTCTTCTTGCTCAAGGTTCCACCTTTGAGTTTTATTGTTTTCTTAATATTTAGTTGATGAATAGTTGCTCTGTAAATCATTTTTCCATAATATAAACTCTTTTATAGAATATGTTGGAGATGTGTCTTCTTTTCTTTCTTTTTTTTAATTTGACTATTTGAAATAAAATTTTAATTATTTTACATCATCTCCCGGAAATACTCCTGGCAACTTGAAGTAAATTTGGCTTAAGTAGGGTGGTTTTTTTTAGAGGGGTGTTTTAACTTAGACTCAATCAACTATACAAAATGTTGAAAAAAAAAAACCTACTTATGCATGTCACCAACTCAAATAATTTATATTTTCATCACAATGTTGTTACTTTCACGTCTAAAAAAAGCAACCAATTAAACTAAACAACAATTCAATTTAATGTTAAATGATTTTGGTTCGCATATACATGCAAAAATTTCAGTTTCATTAGGTAGTGATTTGTTCATGTCTATTGATTATTTTTATATTTATTCAATCGTACGACTAGAAATAACAAGATGAGTGTTGAAGGAAAAATAGAATGTGAAAAAATCGCTTATTTTTAGTTGTCCAGTACAAATAAATTTAAATTTAAATTTAAAAAATAAAAAAAAAAGGAGAAAAATTCTTCTTAGATGTGTATCATCAAATTGGATCAGGATTGTCTGCCCTCCTAGTTTCGGTGTCCTCCCGTGCTTTCCTGTTTTGTGTGGTCACGGTTAAGCCATGTCAATATTTTATATTGTTTTTTTATAGAGATAATAAGACAAAAATGAATAGTAATATAAAATGTTAACGTGGTTTAACCGTGACCACACAAACAGAAGAATACGGGAAAACACCAAAACTATGAGGGCAGACAATCCTTGTCCCATCAAATTTTTATGTTCATGACTCATATAGCTTGCATTGCTATTTTGCTAGGTGCTCAGTGACTGCGTTGCACCAAATTGCTTTTGTTTCAATCAAGACGCTGCCGTTTATATTGTTCCACCAAATTGCTTTTGTTTTGTTCTTCGGTCAAATGGCCTCCAAGCCCCAACAGATCAGAATCATAAGATCACCACTGCACAGAATCCCGTAAATCAAAACAAAACACAAGGTCAATATCGTCATTCCAACGAAACCGTCATAATTATCGACGCTCCACTTTTTGAATTCCTAACCCGTCCGCACACACTTTTTCCACTCTTTCTTCTTCCCTGCCTTTAAAGTCCTCCTTGCTTCGCACAAAATCCAAAACCTCCGCAGAAGCTCGCGTGCTCATCAATGGAGGACTCCATCCCCTACAGAAAATCCCACTTTCCATTCTCCGATCCAAACCCAGAAGCTCACCGAAACCCGATTCAGCACGGTAAGTCCTACACTATGCACTTTCTCCTTAAGGCTCTATTCTTTGCGGCTTTCATCGTTGTTCTTCCACTTTTCCCCTCACAAGCTCCCGAATTTATCAATCACACGATTCTCACTAAGTTCTGGGAGCTCATTCACGTTATCTACGTCGGCATTGCCGTGTCCTACGGCTTGTTCAGCAGAAGAAATAGTGCTGAAATGGGGTTTGAGAATAGCTCAAATATAGGTACTAGGTACTTCTGAGTCTTATATGCCTACAATATTTCCCGTTTCGTCGAATTTCGACGGCGGGTGTGAACACCCATGTGGGTATGGTGAGAAAAGAGAGGGTGAGAGTTGCAATTCTGGGTATTTTTTGGGTAACCCTGTTGCGGCCGTGGCTCAATCTTGTCATGAAAGCAATGTTTTTTATGCCCAATGCAAACCCAGTTTGGGGATTTGTGAAAGCGAGGGTGAAAATTCATGTGGGTATAAAGAGAAAAATGTTACTCAAGCTTGGATGGGGAAATTCATGTCAGTATTTTCAGGGTGAATCAATGGTGTTTGTGGCTCAACCAAATTATGGTCTTGATGGATGGGGAAAACCCAGATCAATGGTTGATAATCAACCTTTAGGATTGCCGGTTCGGAGTTTGAAATCGAGGGTGAAAAACCGGGACAGTTTTGAGTTTGTTGCTAGGAGTGAATTCAGTTTAGGTTCTAAGGGCTCTTTTAATAGCTCTGGTAGGGTTAGGAATGGGGATTTTGGTGATTTGGGTGCTCTAAATTTAGAACAGAAGTTCAATGAAGCTGCTGCATCACCATCCCCGGTTCATTGGCGTTCGCGTTCTGCAAGGATGGAAAGGGGGAAAAGAGTAGGTAGTAATGCTCGTCCTTCGCGTTTGAGGCCACCCTCAGTTGATGAAACTCAGTATGAATCAATGAAAACTCGGTGTTTCCAGTCCACATTGTCCTTTGCTTCCGAGTCTTCTACTCAAACTAGTTCTACGTCTTCTTCCCCAAAAGAAGACTCTTTCACGCACTCCATGTCTTCGGAGGTGCTTAACTCGAAGGTGGAGAATGTGAAGAACAGAAAGAGTACTCATTCTCAAGGGTCTTCTTCTCCTTCAGGATTTGCATCATCACCACCAAAACCGTTGAATGAAAAAGCCTCAATGAGTGCATTGCATTCGCGGGGCTATAGCATTGGTTCTTTCCATGAGGAGGACATGATGAGAAGAAAGAGTCATCCTCTTCCTGCTCCGTCTACATCACTAACACTCAGCTAATCGCCGTCGAAATCGCCATTGTGACGTCTGAGCCCCTAATTCAAACACCCAAATATTATATGTTACATAAGGACTTGTTCGTTTCAAGACTAGCACACTTGCATGACCACCCAACCTATCTTGAAGTATACAGAAGAATTTAAGCAGCACACGTGTGTCTTCCTGGAGATTGTTGTTTGCATTTTCTTGGTTCTACTCAATTCTTTTAGATCAAATAACCAATCTTTGATTTTATATAAGTGAGTTTTAAAGGAATTTTTTCACACAACAAAATTTTCAATGAAAAACACATTAATGATTTTTAATGAAAATTTTGAAAAACCTTATGTTTTATGAAGAAACGATTGCTGGTGTCAACTTTAACTTAATTGTGATACTATCACTCCACCTAAACTTTAACTTGTTTACAATATTGTCATCGTCTTTTGTTATTGTAATTAAAGAAAATTCATTGTATGTTTTTGGATTAAGATTTGAGGTTCTTTTCATTAGTTTTTCTTTATGCAAATGATGTTAAAAGAAGAGCCAAAATGGAAAAGGAAAAGAGTTGTTCCAACCGTATACATCTTTGTATGTCACTCCCTACACTATAAATAAGAATTAGGACCAAAGTCGTCCTTTTGCAAATTGATGCTTAAAACTAGAGTGAATGAGGATTTCGTAACGTAATACTTTAATATAATTCTTTTTACCAAACGAGGGAAATTAGAAAACTTTCTGATCCAATTTACCAATCATCTTCATGTCAATATGAATTTGAGAGTCTAGATTTCTTTTTCTTTTCTTTTACTGACATTTCAACACATATTTACGTAGTCTTTTAGTATCAACCCCCATACATTTTTACATGTCCTCTCCTTGTACTTGAGCCGGTTTGAGATAGTATTTTATTCTTTTAATATTAACAAAAAAAATGTGAAATTAAAATTGAAGATCTCTCCCAAAATTGAAAAGATAAGTGTTAATAGACCAAAAGCTAATTCTTTTGATAAAAGAGATTCTTAACGTGAAGCTCAAACATTTAACTGAGAAAAATGTTTAAAAACTCTACTTGTACAGCTAATAAGCACTCGTTTATGTTAAAAATACGCATGATGCGGTCTTTTGAACATTACTTTCAATAGAACTATATATAAAATGAAAAACTGCATAATGACCATGTGGGTCATGTGATGATTATCAACATTTAGAGATGGATGATTTAATTTATCTAATATGTTTTACGAGTTGATTATTAAGGATTAGAGACTTAGTTAACCTCCCTATATTTGATTAATTAAGTAGCATTGCATTTACTTTGGACAAAAAATAAATAAATAAAAAGAAGGGGAGTTTTAATATTGGCGCCTCGTTTTTTTTTCTTTTTTTTTAGACTAAACATACACTTCTTTTGAAAATTTGATCAAACATTTTCCTAAAATTTTGGTAATTAATTTCACTTTTTCACATAAGTTTATTTTGTTTAGAATTTTAGTTTTTCACGACTTTTCCTAGACATTTCTTCCTTTTTTTTTTCTTTTCCTCTTATCCCTATATTTATGCATTTATTATCCATCTCTATGCATTTTTGTTATTGTTTGTTATAATTTTACTTTTTTTTTTTGTGAATATAGTAGAATATTTATAAATAAAAAAATTGTCAGATTTTATTATTTAGAAGAACCAACACATAATAAAGATTTGTTTGATTATATAGCTACATCTAGTTACCTATAATATGGACACATTTAGTTTTATAGTGGATTTGATTTTTTGTATTTCTCGGTACATTTGGAATGTAAATATACCAAAAGAGTTATTAGATAGAGATATTTGGCTTTGTGGTACATTTGTGATTTTTTTGTTCATTTGATACATTTGGAATTTAAACATACCAAAAGGGTTTCCTGACAATGGGCACATGACACACCCCGACCCAGAAAGTCCATTTGGACCCTGAATCGAGCTGTGCTGGCTGACACCTGGAAGGTGACGAAGCCATAAAATGTGATA